AGCCCCGTCATATATGGCCAGCCGCCGCCTTTGGGCACTACCAATCATTTTCGGAAAACGACACCCCTGCCCCCTGTCCTGATGGGGAAAGACGCCCCCCTAAATCCGTAGGCTGTCCTTCAAGCAGCCCGTCAAATCATTTATTACATACTTGTGATGAGAGACAAAAGCCGATCTGGGACTATTGAGAGTCCGGTACGGTCGGGTGCTCCCCATGCCGGTCTCTCGGCCCACACAGCGACTTTTTGGGCGGCATCTGACTCTGAAAGCCCTCACGACGGCCTCTGTGGGCTCCATTATTGGTTCTAAGGCCCCTCACGACATCCTTTGAGGGCTCCCACGTTGGCTCCACGGGCCGCGCTGGCATCTGAGGTCCCCACGCATGGGCTCGAGGGCCCTCAAGCATCATGAAGACCTATAAGGGCCCCACAGTGGTCTCCGAACGCCACCACGGAGGCTTGTTTGGCCACGCTGGACTATGATGGCCCTAACGATGACCTCTGAAGCCCCTTACGACTACTTTTGAGGGCCCTTACGATGACGTTTGGTGTCTACTGCAGGCTCGAAGGGACTACTGATTCGTTCAGGCGATTCACGTGCCTATTTATGTCACTTTTAGTGCAGGGGGCATCTTACCCAGCGCCAGGGGGCGTCTTTTCCACCCTGTGGGGTAAGATGCCCCCTTTCACTTCTTCAGGAAAATGCTTAATAGCAAAAAAAGTTATCATATTTCAGGCACGAAAGTGTGATATTTTGGGAGAAAAATGATGTCGGCTTCCGTTGAAACTCCAAGTTTTGGCTTTCCGATCGTCATTTTCGAATAATATATGACATAGTCAAACCCTGGGCATCTTTCCCCACTCTCCCCTATCAATATCTGCACGCTGCACACCGGTCAGTTGACAGAATTCGCCTCTCTTCAATTAACAGAACGTCATCATTTTTGTTCGATAAAAGCTCTCCCAACCTTACTGCATCTGTAATAGTGGTGCCAATCGAAACCTGGACATTTGGAGTTCTGATTTTGTCCAATGTCCAATTCGGAATTGGTTGGACAAAGGTAGCAGACTGGACAACATTGGACGATGGCTTGCTACACTTCAGCGCTTTTTATAAAGTAATCGTGCATAGCATTGATTGGCGAATGGAAAGCTTGTCAAGCTCTCAATATAATGAACACTTCTCGGCTGGTAAAATTACATTATAAGCAATTTAAATGACAGTTTTGAGTGTTGATTAATGCGTAATTTTCGGACATATTTGGACAAATGGCTGACTTTAACATTTTTGAACGGAAATCAACAAAAATACCGGAGATTAGACGGAAATTAGACGTAAATTTTATGAAACTGGCATCACTAATCTGCTACTGCTTTGGGTCGAAAATATTGGCAAAAAAAAAAAAACTGGGAGCGCTGTTTTTTCTTAGCTATCCCTGTCTTCATTGAAATTCTCACACTATGTTCAAATTACCCCACGCTTAAATGTATTTTGCCATATTTAAAAACAGGTTTCAAAAGCAAATTTCTTGGATTGAAGGCACTGACTAGGTCATTGTACAACAAAAGCCGTTGCGTATTAGGCGCTATCAATGCAAGATTTTGCGCTGCAATGAAGTTGCAATGACGTGTTTTTAGGCGTTTTTACTTGCGAAACTGATTTTTTACAGTGTGCGTCAACATCCTCATTCCCTTAAACTTTAACCCTCGCACCGACGGGGGGGGGGGGCGGATATCCGCCCCCCCCCCAGAGGTTTTTCGCGAATAGCGGGAAAACCGCGCCGCGAAATTTGGTATGACTATAACCTTATCAATTTTACACATGGTGTTCAAGTTTGAACCTCCTACCTTTTAAGGTCAGGTCACCAGGTCACTTTGAATGACCCAACCTCAAGTCACTTTTTTGTTACTTTGTCACCGTGCCAGAGCTACAGTAGATGTCGGAGGCCTTTGAAACTCGCAGGATATTATTAGGTCATTAATAGCTACAATTTGTATATCTCGGAATTTTGATATCGGTGACCTAAGGTCAGGTCAATTTCGCGACCTCCCTGCATTATAAGTCAATGGGGGAAAAATCAACTCCCTGTTTTTACCACTAAAACGGGTCGGAATGGCCCCATATACCATACATGACTTCATATACGATCAACCTTCACTACCTTGAGGTCTGTTTTGCTGTTGGGCAGCTGTGAGGTCATGTGACGTCATCAAAGGTCACCAAAGCATTTTGGCCAATAACTCCGTACAGGAACAAGATACAGACGCGTGGATGGTCTCATTGTGTTCAATTCGTCAAGACGCATCGAATGATATACATGATGACCTCGAGGTCACGTGACCTGAGGTCAACCTTTGACCTTGACCTTTCGAGGTCAACATATATATCATTCGATGCGGATTGACGAGAGGATCACGATGGTGCCCTTAGTTTGTTCCTATCTTGACTAATTCGAAAGTTATTCGAGAAAAACTCTCCATATCTAGCGCCGCCATTTTGACTTTTTCGACCCCTGTGACGTCATCTTTGACCTGACCTGAAAATGCCCTTGGTAAAAATTGTAGATCTTGGCCGTGCGTATCCGATGCCGTTTACCGCTTGTCGCTATCATGCTTCGTTCTCGAGATCTCAGGGGGGGGGGGGGCGGTCATCCGCCCCCCCCCCCCGTCGGTGCGAAGTTGGCGCAGACCCCCGTCGGTGCGCGGGTTAAACCCCGTTCATATGATAGCCCTTTTAGTTACGATAATTTCCCTCATTGGTCTTATTGTCATGCCTCTTATGGATTTTCCGTAATTTTGTGCTTTTCACACTATGTTCAAATTGCCCCACATGTTCAAATTACCCCACCCTACCCTACTCCAGGGCACTGCGCAGTGCACTGCGCAGTGTTCCCGACATGGCAGACGTGGGTTTCCCCTGGCTTCCCCAAGACTTTACTCGTGAGTCGTGCGTACTTAACATCAAGCCGCAGGCTTGATGGAGCATCGCCTAATCGGTAGCCTAACAGCAGCCACTCTAACCCATAATGGATTCAGAGAAAAAGCGTAGGTAGGCACATACTTTCGCATACTGTAGGCGAGCCAAATGAAGAGCAAAATTAGTTTTAGAGGAAACTAAATACAACTTGGTCACAAGAACCTTGACAGGGCTTGATGCACGCAACGAGTGAAGATACGTAGATTGTTGGTACTGAAGAAATGCATCCTCTTGTGTGCTTGCTTTACTACTTCAAATAACAAAGGCAGGTCACAAGGAAAAATCAGCAATATCGATTATCGAAATATCCCTTCGACATGGTTTTCAAACTTTTGACAGTGCTGCGTACTCGGCTGAGATCCTACGTCACTTGACCTGACCTAACATCATGCCTTACATGATCTTTGGATAATCCGTAGTGAACAGCTTAGATGAAAGCCACTAAAACCAACCGGGTGGGATGGGGATTGGGGAGGTCTCGATGGCATTCTCAGTGGGTCTGGGTACATACTTCATTGGCGATTGGAGTGTGCACGTAACTCATCATTGTGTTTACAAGGTGCAACCTAACTGAATTTAATCACGTAATGTCAGCACACTGATCAGCGGGCACTGAGGCCATTATTCATCAATTGCCATCATGGCAAGCGAATTATCAAATGATGTATTTCCAAGTGGAAGCCAAACACGGCACATTGCCTATTAAGTACGTCATGATATGCACCGCTAGACGGCTTCCGCTGAGCCAATGTATCGTCTCTGAAGTGGCCGAGGATTGTTCGAATGAATACCAAGTTGATCGATGGGAGTTTGGCATTAGCAAGGCATGCAGTGCTTCTCATTGTTGGCATGAACATAACAACAAATCGTGAGAAGGTCACTATCTAGGATATACGTATTACGTATACTCTTAGTCATTGAAAAGTAAAACACCGAAATCCACACAAAACATAACACACTTCAATGTTAGAAGAAATGCGCAAACAACGTAATCACTCGAAAACAATTATGAGTCAACAAAGGATCCATATGCTATCTTCTTCAGCCGCCTCAATAACATAATGCTCTGAGTGACACTGGCGGAAACTGTCTCGCTACCAAAACGTATATAATCATAGAAGAATGCTAATAACTTGGTAGTTGAGAATGCCTATCAAAGTCAGTTGCACAGACAGGTGACGGCCCACGAAACGCACCGGCTTCCAACCACCCTCATCGACAACAAGCATGCCCAGCCTGGCGGTTTTATCTCCGACGCTGTTAGCCCGTAATGTGACAATCACTGGTGTGATTGGCCGTTGCCAAGTTCTCTAACACAAAAAGCTACTCTCTGGGTAATGGGCATATTGCTTTATTTGATAGCAAACATTGTTCCGGAGACATTGATAAAAACATTAGCGGATAGCCCCAATAAGCTGCAGCTGGCCGAGGAAGCAACGACACTGCGAATGAAATAAAACCGACGAGACCAGCAAACAAGACTATATGCCTCTTAGAACTCCGGAAAAAGGATCATTAAATGTTCTTACTCAAAGTTGCAATGCTCGAAACGTGCTCATACTAAATCAACGTTTATATTTGTTGCTTTTGATGACTGCTTTCCAAGAACTTTGTGAGACGCAGCTATCTTCCCGCTAAGATCATTGCCTCAGATAACCTTCCATCTGCGACCCATCTCAGACGATGTTTCAACTGCGCTATCAACGCAAAAACACTGGCAATAAGAAAGCTATTGTTCATTTCCATCGCGTTGCGTATATATTTCCACAGCCCCTGTGATGGAAGAAGGAAAAGCTGGATGGTGGTGATTGTGTAACGCGTTTTTGTGCTCAAGAGCCTCGCACCTTTGCTTTTTTGGCGTGGGTGCGGGAGCGAGCGGGAAGCTCATATGACGATTCTTGTGTTTTTCCATTATGCGACAAATATCTTCATAATTACTTATATTGTTCATCTGTCTTTAGATGATCCTCTCAGCACTGCGTTCCATCAAAGAGGTACTGCGTCACGTTCAATGACATTCAATAAAACGTCAGATAAAGTTTATATCATAAACATCACCAATACAACAAATGCAAAACAGGTTTCTGCGAATACATATAAAGCGTCCTTCCACACAGCGAAGCTTTCAGCTCAACGGAACATCATGTTAACTCCCAGACATGACGAGCTGCTCTCGCCTTAACAAAACAACTGAACGCACACATGGTGTCAGCTCAAGAAAAAGACATACGAAGCTCGAGCCTCTCGTACGTAAACTCACCCCACATGTCAATGCATATGATGACTTCCAGAACGCAAAACCGTCATGGAAACGTAGTCCTTACAACAAACCAAGTACAATACAATATTACGAACGTTGATATAATCACATACAACATGACTATCGTAAAACACATGCGAGATACGATTTTCTGGAAACACAAATCGACTAATCTCCATCTTCCCATTAAGTTATCACTCACTCGCGCGCGGTTCGGTCCCGTTTTGCCCGTACCGTCGTCTCTCAGCTGCGCGTGGCGCGTGCCTGTAGTGCGTGCGCCGCCTGCGTGGCCGTCAGTACCTCGTCGAGGAAGGAGCGACTGTTGTGGAGGCACGTGCCGCCCAGGAGGACCCGCACTCCCGGCACGGTGCTGTTGACCTGGTGCACGGCCAGCGATTCCTCGTAGGTGACGCCGCCGATCATAAACACGATGACCTCGACCGGCCTGTGACAGACGGTGGCGGCGTCAGGGAGGGGAAGGACGGCGATGGCATGCGGTGTCAGAGAAATGGGTTAAGAAAAATAAAATAATGTTACTTAGGAGCACGGAATGTAACTCGAGGACACAATACAGAACACACAGTACCGTGTTACCGTACAGGCAATAAACAGCACGACAAGAAACATACAACAGTACACAGCGCAGGAAATTGACGAACTTCAAGGAAGACAGACAGTAAATATAAGGCTAGACACAAAGATAAATAAAAATGACGCAGACAATTAATATTTGGATAAAGACAGGACAGCATGCCTGCCCAGCCCCTCAATCAAGTCGATAGCGTCGGCAGTGTTCAGAGCTTCATTCAATCACGGAGCAGGACATAAATCAGGAGAGCTTCACCGTTACTTGAGTGATGTATTGCACACTGTGTTCGTCATTTGCATGATGTACGACAATAAATGCCTGATTGACGTAGATCATTGACGATCACGACAATTATAAAATAACTAAAAGTCGTGTAACGCAGGAGCCTTGAAATATTGTACAGTCGGTGCAATGGAATGGGCACCTGAATCACGCGGCCCAGCCGGCGACTGACTAGACGAGCGGAGTCAGATCAGACACTGGGATGGTAGGCTGTTCCGCAGCACACCGACACACTGCGGCACAGTCTATGTCCCAGGCATCCAGCCTCAGCCAGCGAAGGCAGGGGAGCTATCGCGCGCGAGTTGCCATCGGCTCGGTCAAATAAATATTCGACGCACGTGGACAGTGTATGTTTACCGTAAGCACTCAGGCTTTTAAAGGCTTTGGTGATATCCAGTGATACGTCCCACACAGCCATTTCCATGCTTTGCAGTGGAATCCTGGAGAGGTAGGCCGCATCACAAGTGTTTTTGCAGCTGAACGTAGTGCCTACTCCACAGTCGAGTAGTTCAATGCAACTAGTTAAATGGCATTAAAGTTTTAAGCTACAAAAAGAAACTTCCGGAACACTGTCAATAAAGACAATTCGTATTCTTTCTAGAAATTTTCTGTCAAAAAAAAAAAACTTATATTTACGATGAGCGATAGAATAAAGGGCGAACAAGCCAGAGAAAGCATAATAAGCCAGAAGATGCGTCAGTTTTTTCGTCTCATTAAAAGAAGATCGATTTCAGTGTTGATCTGCTTCATTACACCTCTAAGATTCCATGGCATTGGCGACCACCATAAACCTGATCAACAATCCATTATCGTGCTTAGGTTCTATGAGGGTCAGGCACGTATAACCCCGGGATGTGAGCCTTCCACCCTCCGAGTAATAGTTCACTGGCTTTACTCGTACATTGCAGGAATCAATGCCAAAGCTAATCACCCACCGAAAACGCCAAGCCGCCGCGCTGGAAAACAGCCCATCAGTGAACCAAACTAAACACCCGAAGGTCACACAGCTGCCACCCAGTAACAGCTAATGACTACCCCCGGCTAGCAACAGTGTCAGCTAATTATAGAGCAGCGAATCAGCGGCCGCCACCAGGACTGAGACCCACCTGAGCGGCTGGCTGTAGCTGCTGCTGTGGTAGGGGTAGGCAGTCTCCCTCAGCCGGCCCTTCAGCAGGTCGTCCAGCAGACGCGACAGCAGCGGCTTGTGCTGCGTGTAGATGTTGTCGACGCCCTTCACACCCTGTCAGATACGCATCGCGGTTGGTATCAGTGCGATCGGCGTCACAACGAACCGCTAAGACACGACGGTGAACGACCCGTAACCTAATCACCGACGCGGTAGGCGGAATTCCAGATCAAACGCCAGCACGGGGACTCGGCGGGACCGGGCCGGGGCCGTGCCGAACTTCGCGGATTTGGAGCCTCAAAGGACCGCAGTTCCAACGGTCGAGGAAGCCAAAAGCAAATACTAGCGCACGCCACTCACTGAATTCCGCGGAGGAATGCTGGTTCGGTTAGGGAAACCACCGTACAGTCCGCGAATCAGGGACACTCAGATCAGCGCGCATGGTAATCGAAATCCCGCGAACCTGGCGTTCCTCGGATACTCGCCCATGGAGCTCCACCGAACCATGTTTAAACAGTGCAAACAGCGAACACGCATTGCCGCCGATTCCGTTTCGCGAATCTAGTTGTAAGTGGTGATTATCAGGCTCGTTTGCGCGTGACCTCAGGCGGCTAAAGACGGAACAGTACCTCGGCGTGCACATTGACGTGGGCGTGGATCCGGGAAGGTGGGTGCCAGGTGTGCACTTAGCATTGATTCGGGCCATGGCTGATGCCGGCCAACAAGGTTATACAATATACATCGCTAACGAGCGGGGATTAGTGGTCAGTGGGGAGGGACGTGTGGCCGGACGGGGGGGGGGGAGGGAGCAGGAGGGACATGGGCACCTGGGCCTCGTTTTATAAAAGGAATCATTCAATGTACGTCAATCAGGCCATATTTGGCGCAATTAACGTCTGAATTGACTGCAGTCGGAAAAAGGAAAATGTTACCATCTGCGCACTTGTATAGCGAGTTCAAGACACTTATTTTGGCGTTGATAGGTTGTCGATATTATTGTCTTTAACAGACGATAATTACGACCGACGCCCAACACAAAAACCTTTTGTAATACGCATTCGCTGTCTCATGTATCTGGGGGCAACCAAGTCTCATCCCGTAATCTCGGTGACGTAACTTATGTCCGAGAGAAACCTATAAAATAATTAACACATATAAAAGTAGAAAGATGATGATTGAAGCTGGCCGGCGCCGTCGTAAAAGCGACTTTATGACGTCCAATGCAGCGGCGGCTCAGCCGCGGATACGTGCAGTAATGTAAGGGGAGATTAGACCAGCTTACTAGCCGAGTGGCGGATTCTCTTTCATGCTGTTACAACTCAATACCTCGTTCCCCAAGGAAGTTCAGCGTCGCGATGCATACTCTAAAGGCCACGCAACATGGCAAACACTTCTGCGAAGCGGCATTCACCGGCTCATTGCGGTTAGTCCTCCGCCCTCTGCTGCTGCACTGACCTTGAAGAAGCGCTTGGTGACGGCCACGGGGTCGTCGTCCCCGAAGAGGTCACTGCCGCGGGCCCGAGCGCCGCCGTAGTCCAGCATCGGGTACACCAGCTGTGGCGAGAAAACGAGCGTCACTCCTGCGTAACAGCCCTCTATCGAACGTGTATGGACTGTAATAAGACTTTATCAACATTCCTCCCCCCATGGCAAGAAAATAGACACCCCCCTGCGTGCCAGATCCGCCATAATACATGTTCAGCCGCACAAGCCTGGCATGAGACATCCTCGACAGCTCCCACTCTAGCATCGCACGCGCTAAGCCGCCCACAGTGCGTCGACCGTCGACAACCCATCAGTGGCCTCGTTGGTCGCTCGGCGCTGTCCGGTGCGAACCGGCGCAGTGTCGGTGAGCACCCATTACCACCGACGGGTGTGTCTGCAGCGGTCCGCACCGAACCCTGGCTCCGAGCGACGCGTCCACTGTCCGATCGTGATTAGAGCGGCCAGCTTCAGCGCCAATTACAGGGTCGATCCCCAGCCGGGTCGGATCTACCCAATGATGATGTATTGATGCGCTCAGATAACCTCCAATTTGGAGTCTGCCGGCGCAACGGCGCCGACAATTTTCGGAAAAGCTTTATTGGATAAATCGTGCGATATGGTATTATTATAGCGAAGAATGCACACATTATTGGGGCATATGACTATGTAGTTAGGTCACTTGAAAGTACTTGTGCGCTTTTTCGAACATGTTACGTAAAGAGATCATTCTGATTATATAAGAAACTTATTTCCTTCACGAAATTGAGCCCTCTGAGGAAGAAAAAAACAGACCTGTCTCATCATTTCGGTAGACAAAAACTTAGAACAGATCGTTTTACAGAACAGGCCGTTCCTACCGCTCGTTGTCACCGTGCTCGGAGAAGTGGACGTAAAACAAGATCAGTTTCGCACTTGTAATTAGGAATGCAAACATATCAATTACACAAGGTCAAGGATTTCAACCAGGACTGCGGAGTCGATGGATTTTTTAGTGACTTCCACTCCGACTACAGCTTCAAAAATCGACTACGACTCCGAATCCAGCTCTTTTTTCGAAAATCCAACTTAAAAGTCCATACCATGAGAGTAAAGTTTATGTCGGAAAACTGTTTATCTAGCCCAAAATAACCATTTGTGCGTTCCAAGACTTTAAATCGAAAACATACTTCATTAAGAACATGCAAAATAAAAACAGGTTCCAGCGTCGCCGTTCCAGCGTCAGGTCAATTTTGCAACCTCCCCATTGTCAGTCAATGGGAAAAATTGAAAGTCGCCTTTTTAGACGGAAGTCATTATAAACACTCTAAAACACGGAATCTTTGACACATTGAACATGTAAATGGCACCCGTGACCCTTTTTTATGATGCCCCTGAGGTCATCTCAGGTCACCGATGGTGTCCGACTGTTTTTCGCGAATAACTTTTGATAGAGGCATGCTAGAGCGGTGAAAACACCTTAGTTGTGTTTGGCTCGACGATACATTTCGACTGATATACAACTTAACCCTTACCGGTCAGGTCATGACCTTGACCTGAGGTCAAATTTTCAAGTTGACATTTCAAGGTCAAGGGATAGTTCATTCGACGCGTCTTGACGAGAGGAACACGATGCTGGTAAAATAAAATGCGTGTAAGGTTTGAGTAAAAAAATATTGCAGAAAAATCGTTTCCGAAAAAAAAATCGGCTATTTTGGCAGTTTTTGCCCCCTGCAGGCAAAACCGTTGACGGTAGGTCAAATCCGAGAGAATATAACAGAAAGAGCGTTAATAGGGCTATCAAATGAGCTTTTCCGCAGAGCTGTAGCTTTATTAGTTTCCGAGCTGTGCGCCGATGGCCCGATTTCTTGAAAATTGTCGACATCTGACCTACAACTGGACGAATTTTGGCCTTCAATGACTTCTGATGACCTGACTTTTGACCTGACCAAAAAGCGACCAAAGTGATTTCTTCTTTGTTTTTGACGCTCTTTCGAACGCCGCCTTCCACGTATCGCTACGTGGCCCAGAAGCCGAGTTAGAATGGGGTGTTCAAACACCCCCCCTGGGGTATTCAAACACCCCCCCCCTCCTGGGGTATTCAAATACCCCCCCCCCCCCCCCAGCAGGGCATGAAAATCCAGGACCCCCAGCCGGGCGCGGGTTAAAGCAAACATATGTAGGGCATGACTTTGAGCAATACACTATTGACTTCGACTTCGACTGTCGATTCTAAACGACTCAGATAAGACTCCGCAGCCCTGATTTAAACATAGGTACTCATAAAGCGATAGCGATTTATAAAGTCCAGCAAGCTTTGTCAAACACACATGACGAGTTGAAATACGTGGTGTTCATCCGAAAATGTGCATCATGGAGGGCAAGATAAGGAAGAAAGTCGCTTTACGATCCGTTTGGTTTTGTAGACACAGAATCAATGAGCGTGATCTTGAGAGCGTTCCGCCAAGTAGGGGTTCAGAGGCTATTTTCTGACGGTATTGTTTCATAACGTCCCGCTGCCATACTCATGGCAAGCTCGTAAACTCAGCCTTGGGCTTCGACACAAACTTCCAGCACCACGATAGCCGATAACGCTGTGGAAGTGTTGGCTTTTGAATCGCCGTTTGCTCACAGATATCTAGAATCCGAAGTAGCCGAGTATAGTGGCGCATCCTCGAGAAGATAAAGGGTAAGAGAAGATAAAGAGAAGATAAAGAGAAGACACAGGTATCCTATTCTTGATGAGGGACGGCGATTAGCTTCTGTCGCTTGGTACCGCTGGTACGCCCTCTCAAAATGCAATTTGAGAGCATAAATTTAAAATACGAAACAAATGTTGCGGCTATGTGCTAACACATAAGCTAGGAACATGAAAATAAATACATTGATAATGCTTTCTGAACGTGTTTGACAATCTGATCAAACCGCACAAACCACGCACGCTTTCGTCTACCACCAATCCGGGCTTAAAAGGCTGATAGCGTATTTGCAACTGTACTTCCAATGTCACAACTTGAGTTTTGAAGGTGAATTGAGATTATGAGGCATGCAATTTAATACGTTATCTGTGAGTAAAAACGTGGAAGCCATAAGCATACGTCCATATAACAGAGCAGCGACCGCTAGAGCAAGTGGGCAAACAACCTCATCTGCTTCCGGACCATTAACTTTAAACGGGCTGCATTCGATAGTACGATTTGGCAGCGGCTCTTTGGACCCTTAACGTTTATCTGTAGCACATCGTGTTGAGCCAGGGGGAGTTACGCACACGAGTGGCAATGACAGCAGCTTCGCTCCTTAGCCAAGAAGACCTGGCGTGCCTCCAAAGGTCCGGCACAAAACCGGACGTGGTGTAATCTGTGTAAGCCTGGATATCGCTGTATCTTCACATTTATAAGCAAAAGCTCTTACACACTTCTTTTCATAGCTCCTTTTTACTCGCAGGTCTAGTATTTTACGAAAAACAAACTGATGGCCACGGACGTTTTATGCAAAGTCAAAACATAAAAGCTTGTAGAAACGTTCGCGATCGTGAACAATAAAGCCAAAAATTAAATTAAAAAGCAAAAATTCAACTCCTTGCCACAATTAATTAACGTCAAGGCTTTCTGATGATGCTGTCGGGCACAACGGACATCTCCAGCTGTTTCTTTTCCCCACAACCCATGTGGCTATAGAATAGCAGATGTCAATGAATGAAAGAGACACCCGAGCCGACAGACAAGCACGAATTGACAGCGATGAGCAATTGATGAGCATCCGCATCAACTAAATGTAAATCTACGTCAAAAGAGCAATGCTTCAGACATTCATTCTAGCGGCAGAAACTCCACCTATAGTCGTCAGTCTCAACGGACTGACAACGGGCCGACGAAAAAAAGAATGTAGCTGACGAGATCGTCTAGCTGTCAGGTGGCTGTTTCTTTATTGTAAACTGAGCCGAGTCGGCTTCGTCGTCTTCCAACTGACCGAACTGAGCACTGAGCAACATGACAGCTTAGCAACAGCCAGAGGCAAGTGCAGGCGAAGTGTTTGTAGATGGATATCCCCAGGGTAAGTGCAACACTCCAGTCTCTTAGAGCTCTTCAGAGCACATAAACCGAGATTATATACGGTTCACATCACCCGTCCTCTCAGCATACACAGCGATGGCGGTCCAGGACTGTCTCCATGACTCTTAACACTAATGCCAACGTCTTTTCTCCCCTTTCACTGACCAGTCGCGCCGTGAGCCGCACTTAACTGTACTTATCATCAACTCCTCCTCCCCCTCTCAGCCAGTGAAGACGCTAACCTTAGATGTATGTGCTTGTCTCGCATCGTATTCCATTCGCTGTCAGTGTGGGCGTATATCCTACGTGTCATCGCCTCTTTCACGCCCCTTTTCGCGCACTTGTCTTGCCTCCCCTCCTTCCCTCTTCGGCCACTAGCAAGCCGCTGCATGGATTACACCTAGGTATAGATACTTGCCTAGCGCCTCCTCCCCTCCTCTCCTGCCACTAGCAGCACTCCTCACCTTGGAAGGCAATAGGCATATATACTTGCCTAGCGTTCCCTCCCCTCCACTGCCACTAACAGCGCGACTGTGTGAACCGCACCTTGGCGGAACTACTCGTCTCAGGGTATATTGAGTGAAGGGTAGGACGAACTTTGGTAGGAATTTCTAGTATAACTACTAGAAAACCTACTATATGTGGTCGGGACTAGCAAAAAGTTAGCTCAAACTAGAATATGGTAGCGCTTGTGGTTGGCAGTCGGCGTATTTACAAATTGCAACCGAGCTCCGCCGTGGGGTAAGGTGGGCAGGGGTTTCGCACTACGGCTGCGGTTGAACTACCGTCTGTGGTAGAAACTTCAGGACGATGGCGCGTTTCATACGAAATGTGGCGCAATGTTTGTTTGCTTCTGAACTTGTACTGTTATTGGCGCTGTGAATTCTTGAAGTGGGAGTGTTTTAATAACAATTTGTGGATTATTTGAGTTTCTTTATATAAACATAGAATAGTTTTATGAAACATTGTGTGGAAACTGCAAATACTGATATGATCAATTACTTAGTTTGGGAATTGATACACATTTTGTAGAGATTTGTCTGGCAAATGGTGTAACAAACCTCAAGGCTCAAGCCTATCATGATCTGAAGCTGTTGTACCAAATCAAAATTGCTTTGATGTTACATAGTACCTTGTTGGAAAGACTGGAGCATGGTTCAAGATGATGTGTAAAAATTCAAGATTTGTGGGAAAGCTTGTGACTGAAGAACGAAAACAGTTCTATATGATGGCTCAATCAAACATGAAAATGGACGACAAAAGTAGAGTTTCAACATTCCAGCATGTGAGAATAACTTCAGAAATTCATAATTCTTGTAGTATTGCATTCTTCTTATGTACAGTTATAGGTTTTGTTAGGGTATTTGAAATTCATTGTGTCAGTTGAGATATAGATGGGTTGCGGACAAATTTTAGAATCATTGCATGGTAGCTAGGTGTAAGGTACTTGTTCTGTAAAAAGGTATGTGATGAATGCCATGAGAAGGTTTTTTATGATTTAATATATGGTCGTTGTTGTACCTACAAAAATGCAAGCTTACTAGCAACTAGTTTCTGAATCAAATCAAAAGTGTTTGCCATGAATGTAAATATGTACCTGCAAAGTATGTCAATAAATGTGTGTGATGTTGACCAGAGAGCTTTATCATCTGGGCATTTTTGTCGCTTCTTACATTAGGTGTTAAGCATAGTAATTACGGATGAACTTTGTGCCAATATCTTCAATGCACAATGTATGTAGCATGTCTACAACCCTCACTGATCCTGCTATAGCTATATAGGCATTTGGCACCAGCAAGACCAAGGGCATGAACTTCACAATTGCTCAACCTTTTGTCATGTACCACCAGTCACTTTTTTACTTAAGGTGCACATAGCAGTGCACACAACAATGTGCAGAGGGCCTACACAAAAACAACATGATTAGTGTGCACTATGCACAGGATTGTACTCTGATTATTTGAATATTTTGATCACTCAACAGTCAACAGTCAGGAGATAATTATTAAATATCACATTTATTATACATCACTTGTCAAACAAGAGCATGATGACACACATTTTGACAAGCAATCATGGTAGTATTCCAATAAGTTGGACAGTCATCTCCCTGGGTGTCATTTTTCCAGGAAGGTACCTCTGCAGGTGTTGTGGTAGGCTAGGTTGAATTGGGTCAAGTTAGGCGAAGTAAGGTCAGGTGGTTAGGACCCGGTCAGACCGTAAGGGCTGGTCAGGTTGATTTTAATCTTTCATTCTAATTTGACATAGATATCTATTACCTATGTTTTAGCTCCAGCCTGAATTTCATTAGGTAATGAGTTAATTTTGCTTTGTTTTTATCTGTCTTGTTTTGTGTTTTTGTCCCTTATATTTTGCCCCATAGGCAAGGGTGGAGCTTTTCCAGGGAAGGTGGTGGAGCATGATTGGAGGCGCTCAACCAGATGGCATAGGAGGGCACGGTTTCTGAACGCGCACTGATGCCTGATTCAAGCCACGCTGTCTTCATGCGTGGCGGCGCGCTACTTAAAAGTCCCTAAAAGAACGGGAAGTGATGCCGATAGAACCTTCAATCATTCTGGGCTAACGCTTATGACTTGGAAAAAGTCGCGATCCCAATTCAATCGAAAACCTGTGGGCTCTTGTTTAGCAGGAGGTGTATGAAGAGCCACCCGCCAATCGCCATAAGCACTGCTCAACCGCAGGCACAGGTTTAGACGGCGTTGGTCCGCATCAAAGCCAGTGTGCTGGAGAATCTATTGGCTGAAATGCTCCAGAACATTCGCCACTGTGTGGGTTCCTCATTTCCTCTCTGACTGTCCTTTGAAACCACTCCAAAGAAATGCAGAAACCAACGAGGTGAGTAAACGAGGTGAGTAAACTGTGTTTTTTTTTATGAAAGGTGGCTACAAGCTCAGTTAAAAGGAAAAGTACCAGATTGTTTTTTTTTTACAGCGGGAAGAATGGTGTCCGGATAATTTCGTTACACCCCCTGTGATGTTCAAATGGTTGCTAAATTCGAAATCAGCTCCAAAAACTAGCCTAGAAACATGTAAAACTCGAAAAAGTGAACCGAGGTCATCGAAGGTCATTGAGCTAACCTGACCTTCAGGTGACCTTGACACCCACCCTAATGCATGGGACCAGCATCATATCACATGTCTCAACGCTTGAAACCACGTGAAGACTGCAACCGCGCGGCTAATGCGAGCCGACATACGCCGAATCGCGATTCGGGCCAAACATGGTCTCGAGAAAAAGGTCACAGGTCAGAGGTCATTTGGGTCAGGGTCATGCAATTTTCAGGGTAGGTGTAAAATTGATACAATCGGGGGTATTGAAAGTTTCGTCGCAATCGGACGGTTTTTACGCGAGTTACTCACGAAAAACCGATAAAGCGCACCCAAAAAGGCAGAAATATGCACATGCGATATCCTATACTGCGAAAAAAGATGCATCATTTTTGAACGTCGCCGACAAATTGTAATTACCCTAAGCTCAGGCAGATGTATGGTAGAAAAACCCCCAAGTGAAATACACTACGGCGGAAATAAAATACCCTACGGCGGAGCTCGGTTGCAATTTGTAAATACGCTGGCAGTCGTGACGCGCACGTGACATTCATTTCTTAAATTCCTTAAATAACAGGTTTTAGGGGCCGATTAGTGGGCAGATACATTCAATTAGCTATTAATAATTGATTATGCAAGCATTCAAGAATCTACATCATTCAATTCTAGCCAAAATCACGCGGCGCTCCCAGGATTCGAACTCACGACCCTCGGATCCGTAGCCCGATACGCTACCGACTGCGCTACCGCGGACCGCGCGCCGACGACCGGAGAGGCGGATCGCGGGTGCTGGCGTGCAGAGAAATCTTTACCCTGTACGCCGTAGAAGATCGGCTGGGTTTCGTGAAAAGTGGTAGAGGAATTGTCGAAAGAAAATTCATTGATCTATCATTTGAGACCAAGAACCATCGATTCTTTCAAGGGTTGACCGAGATATCGCTCGCCGAAAACAGGCCATTTATCATGTAAACCCTATGGGCTGGTAGGAAATGTACGCCGTGGAGCAGCAGTGCTACCAACTAACTTCGGCGGGGGCCGACTCGTCTCGCCTCCCCTGCCACTAGCAGCTGCTCACCTTGGTATATTTGTCGTCCACCCCTCGGCGCCTCAGCGTGTCCACCAGCCGGTTGATGTCGTTGTTGGAGTGCGTCTCGTACCGCAGCGCGTACAGCATCACCAGTCTCACGGCGTCCAGCTCACGAGTCTTCTCAGAGTTGAGCAGCCGGTAGATCCGCTGGACGGTGAAAGATCAGTCAACAGTCAGCGATGATCATGAGTCAACAGTAAACAGTCAACGATGGTCAACGATAAGTAAAGATAGAACGATAAGTAAAGAGGAACCATGATCCAACGATCAGGCGGGGACAGTCAACGATCCGTGCACAGTCAACCATGATCCAACGGGGCGGTCAAGTAGGGGCAGTCAACAAAGTGGGTCTGAGGGCGGGTTGCATGGTAGGTCAGTGTAAAACTAGCGGATACATGGGACCATCTGAGCTTGGAAGAATGACGGGATGGATAAGCTAGTATGCGTCTATGCAAAACATGTCGATTCGTTACAAACACTAAGCGGAACATGTACACGTGGTATATCACATCCTGACAAAACATCGCACCTGTCCACTGTCCAGCCGACATCCCTTTCATCTTCAATCTAGCTCATATTCCATTACATATCCGTCCATTGTCCACCGCTCAGCCTGAAGGTGTTTGTGTGGCCTTTTCCATTAGGTACGCACCTGCAGGCTCTGTTGGTGTTCGTCGTGGCAGGCCAGCTCCTGTTCAGTCTCGGAGCACTCGAGCAAGGCGTGCCGGTCCACCAGGCGGGACAGCTCGCCCACCACCGTCACATGCTTGGCCACCGTCCCGGACATTTTCTGTGGACACGGTACGGACAGGGTTACAGCGGGAGCACCGTGCAGGGTATTTTCTGCGGACATGACGTGGACACGGTTACAGAATACACGGGGACACCGCATCGGGCATTTTCTGTGGACATGACGTGGACACAGTTATAGAGAGAGCACCGTGCCGAACATTTTCTGCGGACATGACGTGGACACAGTTATAGAGAGAGCACCGTGCCGAACATTTTCTGCGGACATGACACGGACACGGTTATAAGGACCACACCACCGTGCCGGACATTTTTTGTGGACACAGTACGGACAGGGTTACAGAGGGAACACCGTGCAGGGTATTTTCTGCGGACACAGCGCGGACAGGGTTACAGAGGGACAGCGATACCGGATAGTTTCTGCGGACATGACGTAGACAAGGTTACAGAATACAGGGGGGACACCGTACCGAGTATTTTGTGTGGACACGACGCGGACACCGTCAAAGACACGACCACCACCACGGCGGGGGTGCCTCCAGTCGTCAGCCTCGCACGTTGGTGTGTGAGAAGACCGAAAACTTGAGGAAAACTGAAAAGGAATGTTGAGCATGCTGCAGAGCCACGAGAAGTGGTCTATGTAAATGTCAGTTTGTTTATGGTGTTTTCAAGAGCATGTCATTGGACGCTTCAGAACTTCGTGCATAAAACTGTCACGCGCGCTGGACTGCAGAGCAGCCATTCGTTAGTTTTACACCCAGTTGGTTTTAGGCAGACTTTTCAAACTAGACTTACCCGCATCGATCAGTCGCAAGATGACGTCTGGTGGAAGGGTAATTTCGATATTTATAGTCCGTATTAGTTAGGCCTTTTCCGTAGACGATTTGATTAAAAAACATACACATAGTGTACAGACTACATAAATAATTACATCAATACACGAAGATGGGCATTGGGCACCGATGCAATGGCCGGTAAAAAAAAGAGGAGAAAACCTGGTGTATTACCTATATTCACGAACAATGCATTTTAAAAACGTGTCAATAGGCAAAACACACTTTTGGCTTTAGTTATAGGCGCGGAACGATTCCGTTACAGCTTTCCCAGAGCACAAATGATATTGCATTGCAATAAGGTCAACCATTCTCCAGTATATCGTGGACAAGTCTTGTCCGACATATATAGAACAAAATTCAATCAGAAGGTCTCATACGCCTGTTACTTCCGACACCTCGCGCACGGTCAGACAGAGCCTGCGCTTTTCCCGCTGGTAGCGAGCGGTCGCGAGATTGTTCAATTTCCTGCGCGACCTACGACAAGTGTGGCGTTTTTAACTCGTGACGCTACGTCGAATAGTGTCACGCAGCGGCGGATCAGGCGGCAAAAAGTGTCCTAGACTAGACAAGGCCATCGTTGAGAGGTTATGTGTACATGCGTCATACATCGTGCATTCGCTCCCAGCTGCAGCGTGTTGTGTTGTCATTATGAGTATTATCCCGTGGAAAGTCCGAACATTTAGCAAATGCGCGGGTAACGCTCGACAAAGCACAGAGGGTGGGAGGGAAAATGATACGAGCCAAGGTGCGCAAGTGGTTCCGAGAGAGAGCCACTTTGATCGCTGGTCGTTAACGGCTTGTTCCAGGCTGCCGCCTTCAGGTGCATTATACCTGTGACGCAGGCCGACTGACCAGTAAAAACTGGATGGAGCCCGGCTTCAGTGCGCCCACTCAACGGTACCTTACAGTGACTGGCGGCACTCGTAGAGTGGGATATAGCGATAAGGCACACACAGCGAATGCAACAAGAGAAACGAACTGGGAATTGCATCCCTCACATCACAGCGCTCTTACAATTTTCACCTGCCTGTCAAGCGAATACAAAGCGATGAGATGCTGTCAAAAGGCTCAACATCCGCGCCTTGATTCAAAAGCTGACCTGTTATGGCTTAGAAAGCCGACTCATACATCAGTTCAGAGCAGTCGAACAATAATAAAACGCAGATTCAACTCGTTGCTACTTATATGCCACACTATCTTTTACTTGTTTCCTGTTTTTATATCTCAAAGAACGAGTACCATGTAGGTACCCTACATATGACCTTGCTTTAGAAAATTATAATGAACATTAATCTCGGGTAATATTAGGACCAGGGTAAGTTTACCAGAAATAGACAGGGTTAAGGCATGTTTACTCACTCACTAAAGCAAAACGTACGGAACTTTGAAGCCGGAGTGTTAGCACAAAGCTGGTTATGTCGCAGCAGCGCCAAGTTTCAACAGAAGGATTATCATCGGACAGACACAATACTTATCAAAATAACCAGGGATATAAGGCCTTGCGTCAACGCAATTTGTAACAAAAACGATAACAGTATAGTGGATTTACATCCAACGATTCACAATTAATTAATTCATTAACGATCATGATTCAAACACAACAAGTACCGAATGCGCTCAATGGCAATGGAGCCATCAGTTCATTTCAAATGAGTGTAAATTCAATTCAAACATAATTCGGTTGAGCTTTGCAATATGTTAGATAAATATTGAACTTTGATTAAGAGGTAAGGCTTAATTAACTTATGTTCAGTGAATTGAAGACCGTAAAGGACGGATGGCCAACGAATTTCCTTTCATAATTATATAAAAATTCCACCTTGAATAATAATAATAATGTTAACGATTCAGCGAAATATCTATGTAAGCTTAGTAGGTGATCATCTTTGGCTTTTTATTCAAGGCCCTTGAGCTTAAATAGACGTGGACGCGATGGAAATGAAAACGCTTCTTTGTTTGAAAACTGCGACATCTGAAACAAGATGGAAGGTGCAGGTGCCGATTGTCTACCGCCTGCTAAATATAATCCACTTATTCTATAATCACCATTCAATCTTCTCAACACATTGCTCGAACGACGAACGGAATTATGTTTACAGCAATCCAGGTATTAATTTCATAGCCGCGCCGAATAGCACGATACAAATAAAACATTTTCTCATGCTGTGATTGAAAAGCTTCTGCTGTAGCGGAATAATTCACACCACAGCCCTGACCATGGGCAGCCCCACTACAGAAAACGAGAACGACATCGAGCGAGCATAGCAGCGACCTGTCTCTCACCTTAAACTGTGGATACATTTCGACGAACTGCTTCATGTCGGCAATGCTCTCCACCTTTTTCTGGCTCTGCAGCTTCTTCTGGTATTCGTCCATCAGACTTTTAATCGTCTGTCCGATCTCGCCAAAGTTTGAGAACAAATTCTGTGGAAATCGCACAGGACTTTGAACTCAAAGACGTTGAGGAGCTCCAACAGACCTCAGAGGACAGCTGATGACGTTTGTAATTGAGCCGATAGTTAATAAAATGATTGGCATGACGACAGTGCGCTGCAAAATTTTCATTGCAAAATTAGCTTCAGATGCGAAGCACAAATACAAAATATCGGCCCGATTACAAAATGCAACTCCCCGAATCACAAAATGATGAAAATATTATCGTTTCGGTGGACGCTCACCCGTACTGGTCGTTCTTTCGTGCAACCGACGTTCGTTATTTGGAATGTCTCATGATGCCCTGCGGGTAAATTCACCAAAGCAATATTTTTCGCCATTGTCATGAAGTCCTGAATTCTAAGCAATGTCAATTTATTCTTAGCATACCTAACACCTTTAAGCTAGGCTGACCGTCACGAAGCGTTTCATATTTGATTTCCCTCCCACCTGAGCATAGAACTCGTCGTGCTCTGCCGACATGACGACCTCCTTGAGCTCGGGCGGTACGTTGGGCACCTCGGCCAGGCTGACGCGGTTGTTGTTGATGGTCAGCAGCTCGTGCACCATCGCCTGGTACGTCCACTGCGGCAGGAGGAGGGGGCGGTGTCAACGAGTCAGTCGGGATAGAGCATGCAAGCTACCAAGCTACCACATACGGCAGAGGTAGCGTGCATCACCATAACTAAATGCAACAGACTATGTACAGCACTTCGCACACTGTCTCTGCAGCTCAGTTTCACCATTGTGTACCAAATCGGTGCCATCATTGTCCCAGTCCAGCCCGGCCACTGTCCCTCTCAATTCAGTCCTTGTCACATAATATCACCATGTCCCTACGTCTCTAGCCCGCCTCGCCAGTCTGCACCCTTGTCAGTTCATCCCCTCCCCTGCCCCAGTTCGGTTCTCATAGCCACCCTCCGCACATGCCGGCGCCGTTGGTACCTGGTTGAGCAGCGGCGTGACGCTGTCGTCCCGCCGGTCCAGTATCAGCAGCAGCGGCGGAGGCTCGGCGCGACGGAAACTGAACAGCGTCGCCTCCTTGGTGAAGGTCAGCTGTCGGGTCGGACACGGTAGCTGGTCAGTCAAACAACAAAGAATACTTATAATGGATGTGAGATGGGCAATGAGGTGTCAGATCACTGAAGCTGTGAAAGTTGCACACAAGACTGGAGACCAAAGGGTTCATTGTCATTTGTTGAACACAAAACAAACAAAATTCCCACTCCGAGTTGGTTTGTTATTTCATTTTTGTGATACACCCATGACTGGAAATATGAAAAAATATGCGAAGTCAAACAACTTGTGTTTGACAAATTGCCGGAGACTACGGTTCTCCGGCACTGCATATTCTATCGATTTCACCCACGCTGACCCAGCAGGGACCCAACGAGTCATCTCCGGGCCGATATATAAGACAGCGCGCGACCTACACGGTCCAATATAGCGACCGCCGCCCCGAAGGAGCAGCTATAGGCGGCCGCATGGGCGTCGGATACGGGACGACCGCGCCTGATCTCCCTGCCATCGATGGGGTACACTATATCAGGAGTTTCCGGAGCGGAGCGCCACCTGAATTCAGAGTATATCACAACAGGCTGGGGTCGGCCGTTGTTAGTGTACTGAACGGACTCGGTGAATTTCTCCCTCACTCAGGATCGAGGGGTTCGGATGGTGCACTAGACCGATAAAACACCGGGCCATCGAAAGCAAGGGAATAAATGTGCCTAGGCAAACGGGATAAAATAGTGGTTACTTTTCAGGTTCGATAAAAGCACTTCGATTTTCTACAACAAATGGCAAAGACACGTCCACGTTGAAGCGCATTTCCGATGCGTTTTTGTGTCACTTGTCATCTTTGGAATCTGTGATCTCCAGACAGCAAATATTGAAACAAATCCCAGACATCGAGGCCAGCTCCAGACAGACGCGCATTTCGAGGTAGTTCCGCTCCTGGAAGCAACTACAAATGCACAGCAGGGCGCTTTTGTCGTTGGCCCTCCTTTTAACGTAAGCTCATTATTGTCCAGACTGACGTACATAAACCCCGATTGCCCGAGCCCGGGTATGTCGTAAGCGCAGTCGGGCTTCAATTTGAAACCAGTATCAAATCAAGTTCGTGGACTGAGCATAAACATCATCAGAAAGAAGACATCTGTTGACATTACATCGAGAAATCGGATTAAAGTCAACAACAAAAACCTATACATCGTGGGCTGGCAGTGGACTCGCATGTATCGTGCGTTGATAATCGGTGTAACATTCGATGTGATGTATTTAAAAGTCTAGGCCAAGTCGTCCCATGCTATTGTGCCATTTGTTACACCAGTTCGTCTGCGCGCCGTTTGTATTGCCTCCTTTGAGAACTTCAGTACATTACCAAGACGTGGTTTGGGCCAAAATGTGAACGTTTTCCCGTCCAAAGTTGGCCGCTGGCCTATTGGTCTAAGTGTGGTGATCTGCGCTGGGGCAGATATCCAGTACAAACAAAGCATCGAGCGAACACAGGGTTAAATCCCCTCTGACCTGACCCTGTTCCCCCCCCCCCCCCACTGACCCGTATACTCTCCGCCAGCTTCCTGGCCATTTCGGACGAGTTTTGGTATCGGATGACGGGACACTTTTTCAGCGAGAGCAGCACGGCGGCCAGTCCCTGCGTGGCGCGCGTAAGACTCGGCTGCGTCCAGGCCAGACCTGGAAACAGACCCAGACCCGGATCTGGCGTCACATCTATGACAGCGGCGATTGAATCAGTAACCAGCCGGTGTGACGTCAACAGACGTCGGCAAACCTCCCTCCAGACATGCAATAATACCGTCTGAGACTGGGCAGGATGACATATCTGATATAGATCACATATCAGAGAGACACATTTACAGTTACGATTAGCCATAAAACCATCGACGAGCATTCGCGGACAGACACCGGAAGGGTATTGAACAAACGGACATAGAGACGTCTTCCTCAGTTAGCAACTGTAGAACGGAACACCAAGACATTTGTGGCCTGGAAATCGCTCCACAGAGCCTGGCAACAGACACGGCAATGACACTGGAAGCCACCACACCAGCAACACATGACAGCACAAGTCGGTGCTCGGGGCGGGTTCAATTATGGTCTAATCCATCCGAACGGGAGCCAGAAACTGGGATTGGGTTACCTCACCCTATTTTGTATCTAATGTAGGAATTCCGTGGCCTATCTGGCGGAGTCGTCTCACACAGAAGGTTACACGATTGAAGTATGGATGGACACAACTAGAGGGTGTTCACGATGACGATACTGAAGTCGAGAACATATTTTAGTGATGGTTACTGGTCACATTCCATCCTAGGGTAGTGGTACGACATAGAACATAACCTCATCCCCTAGTTCCCAGCACCCCTAGTTCACCTCACCCGTTCGGTCACCTCGTTCCGTCACCTCACCCCACTAGTTCACCTCACCCTGCTGAGCTAGCACCCCTAACGATTCGCCTCACCCTGACTGCAGCTGGGCATCCCCAGGTGGAACAGGTGCGGCCCCACCGCCAGATAGTCGGCGTACAGCTCCTGTACGTCTCGCACCAGCTCGTTCTCGTCCGCTTCTGCCAGCTGTTTCACGTCGGCCTTGGCAATCACGTTACTGAAGTCTGGAGAGACATGGCGAAGGGGTGGTCAGTGGTCACATTACTACTTAAGTCACATTACTAGAGTCTGTAGAGGCATGGCGAGCGGTGCTCAGTGGTCACGATACTGAAGACTGGAGAGACAAGGTGAGGGCATGTGCGGTCAGGCTGCGATCACGGTGCTGAAGTCTGGAGAGACATGGCGAGGGGGCTGTCACGGTACTGACGCCTGGAGCATAGCGGAGCAAAGCGGCCACGGTCACATTATTGAAGCCAGGTGCAGCACGGAGAGGGCACATGCGGTCAGTGCCAGTGGTCACGGTTCTGAAGTCTGGTGGTATGAAGGTGATCACAATTTTAGGCCTGGGGATGGATTGGAGAGGCCTATGACCGAGATTGACCTAGCTGAAGGAAATTACTGTGGCGAATGTAGAGGACGCGACGATCGGGTTCACGGAGGCTGGGGATAGGACTGCTGCCAGCTGAACGCACAGAGTCGGGTAACATCGGCGATGCTTAATGACGCCGTCAGAGATGTGAGAGCTATCCTAGAGGTCTTAGTTTTTAGGTGAATGGCTTGGAGATATAGGACCGTAACACAGTCAACCAAAAGAGAAACATACCATATTCACTGTTAAACTGTTAATAAACTGTTTCACCTGACCAAGAATTGTTCAAGTGTTCACAGTTATCAGCTGGAAAAAGATAGAGTTATCCATTGAGTGACAGTTCCCATCCCATTGCGCGATACTCTTACATTTATCCGACTCTCGCATTCGCCTCGGATATTCTACACCACCCATAGCCAAGATGTCGCCACTCCCACCTCATCCCTCTCAGCCACTCACAGACATAGTAGTAGCCGTATCGGGGCCTGCGCAGCTCCCTGGCCAGTTTGGCCACGTTGTCACGGGTCGGCCGGACGAACACGATGCACTTGAGGTGTCGCATGACGTCCGGCGGGAGGTCCGAGTCGAGACGCTCAAACAGGTATACCTCCTGCTGAAGCATCTCCGACTGGGCGAACACGATACTCACGATGCCCGTCTGAGGAGGAAGGAAGGTTACTGTTGCGCGTCCCCCCGATTTCCGTGAGCTGCCTGTTCGACTCCCCCGTGTCTCCACCGCTCAGTTCCGTGTGAGACCTGTCACTATGGGAGAGCTGCGTGCTACGGTACTGTGCATGAACGGCAGCGGGGCGTGTGATGCAGACGGGATTACGATGAAGTTTTTGAAATCCTGCTTTGACGCGATAGCACATGTGATCCTTTGCGTAATTAACACTAGTTTGGTCACCAGTACAGTACCTACGCCGTGGAAGCTCTCCGTGATACAGCCCATTTACAAGTCAGTCGGTGCTCTCACCGACCCATCTAGTTTTGGCCCTATTTCACTTGTGCCCTGTCTCTCAAAGATCATAGAACGGCTAGTTCACGAACAGTTGTACTCTTTCTTCGTCAACAACTGCCTTCTTGCTTCCGCCCAACATGGCTTTCGCCGAAACTATTCTACCGAAACGGCACTTATTCAAATTACCGATCGCATCCATCGGGCCATGGATCAGGGTCATATCTGTCTTCTTGTCTTGTTAGACCTGAGTAAATGTTTTGATGTTGTGAATCACGCCAAATTGCTTCAAAAACTTGAACTTTATGGAGTGAACACTGAGTGGTTCCAAAGTTATCTTTCGGATCATTTTCAATACGTTCGAATGAGCTCGCCACAGAACGAACAGGTGACCTCCAAACCGATGAGAAACCCGATTGGAGTGTACCAAGGTACCTCGCTCGGACCTTTGTTGTACACCGTGTACTCGAACGACATCAGTTTGTACGTAGAGAGCGAGGTGACCATCGTTCAATACGCTGATGATACTCAGCTCCTCGTTACGGGCAGAAAAAGTGACATCGCATCACTGGTTCATCGCATGGAGTGTGCACTAAACACCCTGCATCGCTGGTTTATGCAAAATTCCTTGAAACTGAACTCCAGCAAGACGCAGGTTATAGTTTTGGGTACGCGCCAAATGTTACGAGGTGTTCCGCCTGTTACCCTTACCGTGAGCGGCAGTACCATCCACGAGAGTGATCGCGTCAAAAACTTGGGCGTGGTGATGGACCGCACGCTGTCTTACGAGTACCATATAGATCAGCTTGTCGGACGATGCACTGGTCTTCTTATAGGTCTTAGTCATGCCAGATATAGACTACCGAAAGAGACTCTCATCACTATTGTCAACGCATTGGTTCTGTCAACCGTGAGATATTGTATCAGTGTCTATGGTACTGCGGTCGCCAAAAACATGTCTCGTGTTCAAAAGGTGATTAACTTCGGTGCACGAGTTATCACGGGGCGGCGCAAGCACGACCGCGTGAGTGACGCACTTAGAACTCTCACCTGGCTCCCGGCTCGTGAACTGGTCACTTACCACACTCTGTGCCTACTCAAGCGCATGTTGGTGACCGGCGCTCCTCAGGATATCGCCGAGCAGCTCTCCACAGTAGGAGAAGGGAGAGAGCGCAACACACGGCAGGACGCAGACCTCGCTCTTCCACGGATAAGATCCGAGTCCGGCCGAAGGAGATTTTTGTACCGTGCTGTGTCGGCTTTCAATGCCCTGCCTCTCGCTGTCAGGGAGCAACCACCGGGCGCTTTTAAAAGGAATGTGAAACGGCGTCTGGGCCAATTTTAGAAAGTATGCGTGCTTGTGGGTTTTGTATTTTTTATGTGTGCTGGATTGCGTCACCATCCCCTTGTATTTACTTTTTCACCTCCTATGACACGAACTCAAGAATAGCCATGTTGTATGGATGAGTTCTTAAGTGTTCAATAAACAATAAACAATAATAAACAATAAGGTTAGACGGGGTCAGTGTCGGCGGACAGCGTGAGTGAGTGGTGTGTGTGTGAACAGCTCATGAAGGAGGAAAACTGTCCCTTCTACGGGTGCTTTTCCAAAAACTTAGATTACCTACATGGCATACAGACATATTTGACTGCAGCTGTTTTGGATGCATCCTTGCATAATAGTTACATGGGCTGTATCAGCTGGTCTGATTAAGCCATGACAGCATTACGAAACCAGGTGTGAAAACATGATTTTGAGTACCCTCAAATCACATTGACCACCTGATATCGGACGAAACAGGGCCCTGGGTGGTAGGTACTCACAGTTTCTTTGTCAAGCATCAGCACCTTCATGCCTGGCCCGCTTTCGTCAATCATCTTGGTGATATACTTCCGAGCTGCCACTATGACGTCCATGGCGGTGGTTGTTCGCCGTCAGTTATCACTAATAACAACTGCAAAGTATCTGTAGGGGAAAAACAAGCAATGAGATTAAAAGACCAAGGGGGATTGTGGGGTGCCTGCAGCTGCACCACTGTACACAAAATCCCCACCACAACTCAACTCAGTATATCTGCATTCTGCACTACAATACACTTTGCCTGGGTGTCTCTGCGCCAGCACTGAGACATCTTTTTTTATAAATTTAGTCCGAATGGCTGAATGGGTGGATTTGAGGAATCAGAGCTCGCACTAAGCATAGCTTGTTGTGCTGACCCTGACCCCACCACCCGATCGTGCAATTCCAGTTGTATGGCAGAATTTTGTCCGAACGTTTAACGTGCCCTCACGACTGGACACGGTCCCCTCTGCTCACTCACGTTACCTGGCTTCTGTGCGGCCGTGCGGCCCCTGCCACAGACACGCACGCCATTACACGTAGGAGCTAAATGTGGCCGCCCGCACGGGGGCTTGAACCGTGATTTCACTTCCGGCTAAGCGTCGAATTCCCGCGCTTTTATCCACTCGGCCACGGAGAGGACATCAATCATCAATATTCAATTATGCAATGCTTTGCAGCAGAAAATGTAGATGGATCTCAGTGAAGGATCTATGATCTCAATGGAACTCAAAGCAAATGACAAGTTAGGAGCTGTCCGTCTGGGTCCCACATGGAAAATATATTGATATCCTGGATCTGTGATCTCATAGGGTCTGACGATAAAACAAGAACCCAAGCTCTGTTCGATCTGTTTTTTTTTTTTTAGCAAGCTGTCAGTTTTTGTACTCAGTTGTACTCAGGTGTCCTCAAGTGTATTTCATGCACAGACCTAGTCAAGTGCGTGAAATACATAGGCGTCGCCAGAGGTTTTCGGTTGGGGCGGGGGGCAAAATCAACTTTTGTGGGGCAGGATTAACTTTTGGACGACAGTGAAAACAGGGCACCTGGGGCAATTTGATCAAGGTTCGTGAAATTCACATGCGACGTTTAGAATCTAGAAGGCCCACGGATGGGGGATAAGTTCCAAATGTCACGTGACTAATATGGCCTCCGGCACCCTGTTTTCACCAGCGTCCCAACTTTTGCCTTTCCCTAGTTCAGTAGGCGGAACTATGGTCATGAGTACCCAAATATAGGAACGTTCCCATTTTTGGGAACGGAGTTCCCAAATATGGGAACGGGCGTTCCCATTTATGAGAACGGAAGGCAATTTTTCGGCCGTTCGCCCACTAAAACTCAAAAGTGCATCACGTCTCAAAAAAGTGCACGCTGATTTAAGTATCTACTAAATCTCCATAAAGTTATCTTTAATCTGACCGTGGAACAAGGAAATTGACCGTGGAATGATATTTTTAATGATTTTTTAAAAATGACAGAATGGTGGAAATATCGGTTATACGACATTTAACATGCAATTTTAAGGAAAATGAAGCATTTTTTACATTTTGAGGTCAAGTATAATAATTTTCGCCTGGTTATGAAGTTTCATTCTAGCGACACCAGATGCTGACATATGCAAGCGAACACGCGGACAGTCCCGAGGTAATATTGTTGACTTTTGGTGTCGGGGCGATCTACCGCGTGGAACGTCAGTGATTTTACCGAACTACTGTTGTAAACTCAGTTTCAGTGGTTTAAAATCATTCAGCTGTATTTTATCAGCCCTGAAAGACATATTTTATTTGGATGCTAGCTGTTTAGCGTTGTTTTATAAGCAGCGTCATGAGCGTGGTTTTTGTCTTCGGCGTTTCTAAGCATGATCGTTTGGGGGGAATTTCTCTGATATAGGTCGCTCTGTGTGGCTTATTTATAATTTTTATGCTGATTTCGATCATACCTCGTGCCCATCCTACCAGGCCTTTTGCCACTTACACTCATTAAGAAAGGAAAAAACTAGATTTTCATTGGGACTAGGTGTTTTGAGGGTGTAACATATTCAGCGTTCCCATTTTTGGATACTTCTTGTGCTCGTCAACTCTCGGTGATTAGCAGACAGGTGCTTGACATGTCTCCACCCTCGGCGCGGACGGTGGATATAGGTATGGAAGACCTTGTTGAACATCGCTGAGCGTTGTGGATTACGTAATCCTGCAGAGGGGGGCGTGCCCGCTGCGAGATCGACGGGAATAAAAGCGCAGAAGACCGGGCGAAACATGCAACGGTCCTGCCGGAAAGGTCATCTGATGATTGTTGCGTTAACAATAATTTGCGGCGTTGGACGTGATGCTTGTTAATGAAAAGAGCCCCTGAAAGGCGTCGGTGAAATCGTTCCCAATTTTGGGTACGCCGTCCCCATAATAAGGAACGCTTGCAGCGCCAGTGTACGAGAGCGTTCCCAAATTTGGGCTCGCGGCCCGGGTGATGGACTGCTTTAGAAATAGGGGAACGATTTGAAACTACGATGGGCCTTACAATATCAAACTCTTTCCCAACAATATTGAGACAACTATCAGGCGGTTCACGATCGTTTTATATTTTTTGGACGTCATTTAACAGTTCTTTTTCTTGTTTTAAATAATGCCTACATGGCGTTCCCATATTTGGGTTTATCGTTCCCAAACATGGGAACGAAAATGCGTTCCCGAAAATGGGTACGCTTGACCATAGTTCCGCCTACTGAGTTGTTCCTCAGTCCTCACTCGTTTTACATATCATTCGACGCGCAATGGTGCGAGGAATCCGATGGTGACAAAGTTTTCCTTTTAACTATGACATGTATTTTTTTACAGAAAAATTCGAATTTTTGAAATTTCTGGACAAAAACGACCGGTAGAATTACAGTGGCTGCGATTGCCGACGCACTGCAGAAGGCCCCTGTGCAGACACTTCTCTCCTTTAAGCTCATTTTTTTGTTGACTGCGGCTCAGCCAATACTACCTTAAGTGCTGAAAAAAACGACGAAATTGCCCCTAACCCCTCTAACCACCCACACAGCAAAAAGTACACAAATTTGCGCAAACGCAGCAAAAGCGCCACTTACTCTCCAAATGTTGTTTCCATATCGAAGGGAAGTGATTCCAAATCCTTCGTCGTACGCAAATTCCGCCATGCAGCTGATTGCACGGGATCAATTATTTTAATTTTTTACCGGAATTTCGAATTACCTGATGGTGAGTAGTATTGTGTGTCGAAATTCCGTTTGCCTTGATTTTGCTTGTTTCGAATCTGAGGCGCTCTGGTATGGGAGGAATGAAGGACGGCTCATTTTTCAACATGCCGTTCATATTTTTCGAAGCTGTTTCGGTCAGTGCACCGCCGAGTAGTAAAAGAATCTTGGCACCGCCTCCATTTCAATGTAATTCCAAATATTCTTGCCAATTACCATAATCTGAACCGTCTAAGCTTCCATTCAGTCAACATGAAGCAAAAACGCGCAAGGGGCATTGGCACGAAGCAGGATGCGGCCCACAGCTGCTCCTCTCAAATGCGGCAAATGATGATGTAATATGCATCCACGCATTGGCGATGGGGTATTAGCTATACATAAGCATCTTTGATCCAACTGACATGGCCAAAACTCAAAAACCTTCAGTAAAAATCACTTAGAAACAACATTAGAAACAGGCTGCTTTGTTGCCAGCTGAGACGGGTTGCACTAAATGCCAAACACTTCACCAAACAAGAAAGGACAATAACCGATTACCAATCACGATAAACCAAAACAGCTGGGCACTACCAACAGATGAACATTTATTCAGGAATTCATCGGAGCTGAACCCAGAGCGCTTTGGACATGTACAGTATGAATGCGGCAGGGTGCCGGTGAACAATAGTTCGGGCCGCCCCGATCGATCACAGCGCGCGCTACACTCCCCGCTCGCCGGCCGGCAGTGCTACCGTATAGAGCACCCGCGACAGCTGCGCGGCCACCCGCTGGTCCAAGATCTGCGAGGTGACCAGCGCCAGCAGGCGCGCCTCGCAGCGCACCAGCGCCGGCCGCGCCTCGGCCAGCGGCGCCAGGCTGACCAGCAGGCCGGCGGCGCGGCCCAACAGGTCCAGACTGGTGCCCATCAGGTCCGGGTTCTCCCGCAGCGCATTCACGCCCTGCGAGTTGGCCACGCTCATGGCACTCTGTTCGGCCGCCTCCACGAAGCGCACCAGCGTGGCGGTCAGGTCTGTCTCGGCGGCTAGCACGCGGCCCACCCGCTCGTCCACTGCGGCCAGCGCGTGCAGCAGAGTGAGCGCCATCTCCCTGCGCACCTGGTCCCCCTCAGCTGCCACCCAGCCGGCCGCTAGTCGGCAGACGCGCTCCAGTCGCCAGCCGGGCGGCGTGGCCAGCAGCAGATCCACATTGTCCGCGTGCACACAGAGCCGGCAGAGCGCCTCGAGCGCCAGCCGAGCGGCCGGCAGCGCGGCGCCGCTGACAGGCAGCGGGTCGGCCGCATACGAGGAGCGGCACTGCACCCAGTGCAGCAGACCGTCCAGCACGGGCCGCACCACCGCCTCGTCGTGCCCACCCAGTCGCACATGGCCGCCAATATTGGTGAGCGTCACCAGCGCGTGCTCGTGCAGCGCCGGAAGAAAGTCGGCCCACCAGTCGTCGCCACCGAATGCCGGGCACGGCTCGCGCTGGTCGGCATCCTCGTCGCGGTCGTAGTTTGTGTGCGCGGCCGCGCGCGGCGGGTGCCGGTGGTGCAGCTGCAGCAGGTCACCGAGCAGCACCAGAACCGGCTCGGTCGCCAGCTCCGCCTCGTTGCCCGGGACGAAGGACAGATTCCGTAGGATGGTGCTGGCAGCCAGACAGCGAGTCGCCACGCTCTCCTGGGTCTCTGACGTCAGGAACAGGCTCGATTCGTCCCGCTGCTGGCACTCGTCCTCCTCGTCGGGAGGCGGCCGCTTCAGCGAGCCGCGCGGAAGGATCCCGCTGGGCGCCGGCGCGGGAGGAGACACCGTGCCATTCGGCAGAGCGACCGGCTTCCCCTCCTCTGCCGGGACGGGCTCAGCCTTGACAGCCGTCTCACCCTCCTGCACCGGCGGCTCGCCTGGCTCCAACTTCATGTCCACATCCATTGCCTCCTGTTTTACACTCGCATCGCACGCGTCCCCCTTCGCATCGTTCGCACTGGGCTTTGCATCACTTTTCACACCGTCCGCATTCGGCTTTGCGTCCTGATCACTGTCCCCACCAGGTTTTACGTCCCCTTCCGCACTGGACTTTACGTTGTCGTCCGCACTAGGCTTTACGCCTTCCCCACTGTCCGCCGGAGGAGCCACACGTCTCAACCGACTGAGGAAGAACCCGGGCTCCTCGAAGCCGGCCAGCCGCTCGTCCAGCGGTGCCTGGCCGTTCACCTTCGGGGCGTCTTCCATCGGCTCGTCTGCGGGCTCCTCCTTGATTCGTCCGTCCACCAGCCGCCGCTGGAACGGTATCCGGCCGCTCTCAACTTTCACGTGCGTCAGGACGTGGTCCCAGCCGCCGTCAGCGTCGGCAGAGTCGGCCTCCCAGGCGCGCCGGCGAGGCGACACCAGGATCGTCTCCGAACAGTCGGCCAGCTCCACGGCCCTACCCAGACGGGACACTCGCGTGTAGTCGGCGCCGTGCAGCACCTTCTCGCTGTCCGTGGTGTCGGCCGGCCGGCAGACACCCAGGTCCGGCTCCGGCTCCCCCTCAGCGCCTCCCTCGAACCACTCTCCGGCAGCGCGCCGCGAGAACATGGCCGCCAACGACTGACGGAAGTGCTGCAGCAGCGCCGCCAGCAGACCGGGCATGCGAGCCAGGCCCAGCCACGACACGGACGCGTCGTCGAAGGACAGGATCTGCAGCACGTCTAGCGCCCAGCGGCTCTCGGCCAGCTGGCCGGAGCGCAGTGCCATCGTCAGCCGCCAGCCGTCCACGGGGCCGACGTCCGCGCGTGTGCCGCGCCGCCGCCGCGCCAGGACGGGTAATGTGGCCTCCACGCTGTCAGGCGGGAACGTGGGCCGCAGGTACGAGGCAGGCATCGGCTGTCGGGGGACGAAACACCGGTCAGTGGTGGGTCGGCCAGGCGGGGTGAGGTCGATATGGTTTAACAGCACAATGCTTGGAGAAAATGGGCCCGAGAGCCTACAAACAGCAAGCGAACAAATAATGCAAGTCATGTTCGTCACCTGATTTTACACAAAGGAGAAGGATATGCACAATGCATCTCGTTCGACAGTGCATAAAAAAGTTACCTTGAATTATCAACAAAATAATGAACTCCGTTTGAAAAATCCAGCACAAAAACCCACAACCAATTACTCTAGCTCAGTCTTCCCCTGTAACACTACACTCTCATCCCACGGCCTCCGACGTCCCTCACCTTGGCCGTCACGCCGGGTCTGTCGGGCCGGCCGGCTGGTCTGGCGCCGGGTGGGGCTGTGGAGGTGGTGGTGCCGCCCCACTGGCCGGGAGCCGGGTACCGCGGCGGCCACTGGCTGTACTGACCGCCACGCCACGCGCCTGAAGCAGACCGAAAGACAGACAGAAGTGAATAATTATGCAGGTTGGACACAGGGAAGAGTTTCGCATGAACACATAGAGGTGCATCTCGCACATCTTGCATAGACGTAGTGACGCAACACTTACAAACACAATTGGCAAGGCATAGACACAATGGGGCGCATCTGGGGCAGACACATACATTTGTGTCGCATCAGAACCTCACCTTGTAATACATAAAGATATACGAAAACCGGATTCAGACACAAATGAACGGAAGCACAACGGATCCACCGAACAATGTCCAGACGTGCGAAGCAGATACAAGACTCGTGACACAGAGTCAGTATGGGCCACCTGAGCACCATTCATCATGTCCGTCAATCCACTCTGTTTTCATCCACCCACCACCAGCTACCTACCGTAAGGCTGTTGTTGCTGCTGCTGCTGCGGATGCTGCTGATGTTGCTGTGGATGCTGCTGCTGATGCTGTTGGGCCATCTGCGCCTGGTGCTGGCTGTAGGGCACGGCGGCGCCGGGCGCCGAGACGGGCGGCTGGCCGGGCCGGCCTGCGCCCGGCACCGGCAGAGCCCCCGGGGGCGGCGGCGGAGCAGCGCTGGGACTGTAGGGCCGCGGTGGACCGCCCGACACCGACGCCGGGGCGTGGCTGTACGGCTGGGGACACAGGGCAGGCGGTCAGGGCCGGCCGGGCTTACCAGAAACGAACGCACCAGTGGAACAGGAGAACAGTCAGACAGCGCTTGCTTGATGCGCAAATCCGTGCCGTGCTCGAATGCGTATCTGTGCTTCCACACAGGTCGACAACAAAAAACTCCCCCGATGATAACGACAATCCGAACAATCCCCCAGAATGTCAACAAAATTCGTTCCATTTCACACCTATTCGGTTCTCTGACAATGACTTACGACTAACACAGTTCCATCGCTATATCACCCATCCAGCTGCGAATGAAGCCGCAGCCTAACCGCCTCTCCCCCTGCCCATCGGACCCTCACTCACAACGCCGTGTCGGGCGACGCCCAGCTGCTGGGCGGCCGGGGAGACGAGCGCGGCCGGCGGCGCCGCCAGCTGACGACACAGCGTCGGAGACGACGCGGCGCCCGTCGGTTTCGACACTGCGCCCATCATCTACAGGAGACAGCCGCCGCACCGCGGGGAGAGTGCAGAGGCAGACCGTGAGCGAACGGAACAGGAACAAAACATGGCGGAAAACGAAAAGTGATATAAAATGACCTGAATGTTTAAAAAGAAAATAGCAAAAATAATGGTTTGATGCTAAAATTGACAAAAGTATGAAACTGAGGCATGGACAAATAACAAATTAGTAAGAAATTGAGCTACTAAGTGCAAAACAGAAGCAAAGCAGCATATCATACAAATACAAAGTATAAATAATGGACAGCCAAGCGGGCGGAGCTGAGTGAGCAGCAGGCATGACTGTGAGCTGCGAGCCAGCTGCGCCTGCGAGAGCGCCGAGCGGCAGGGAAGCGCGCTGCCCAGTGGCCCGGTACGTACCGGCGGCGGGGGTCGCACGCTTTGGCCGGGAGGAGCCGACAGCTGCTTGGCCAGCTGAGACTGCGGGGCGGCACTGACGCCCGGCCGAGCCTACGGGGGCAGCGGGGCCGGACCGCGTGACCGAACGGTACACGAGGAGCGAAGCACACGCGCCACGGAGGCACTATTTACATCACACACGTGCAAAGCAAAACAATGTCGTGGGAAGCAAAAATAAGTAAGCATAAAATAACTCAAAAAGCACGCAGTCAAAGCTGGCATTAAAAAGCTATAAAACAAACAAAACAAAAACAAAATGACACACACACTAACGGACTAAAAGCCGGTGGCAGACGTATATCACACAGCCCCATGCACCCAGCCCTCCCTCCTCCACTGACCGGCGTGTAGGGTCCTGGCGGTCCGGCGGCCGGCGCCGCCGAGGAGGTGGCCGGCGGGTAGCCGCCCTCCCCTCCGGGCGGCGGGCCGTAGCCGGGCGGGGGCGGCGTGGCGGCCGGGCTGCCGCCGCCGGCCGTCTGCGGCGGGGGCGGCGGGGTGCGCGGAGCTGCCGGGCCGCCCCCCGGGTAGTGCGGCGGCCGCGGCGGGGCGCCGTAGGTGGTCGGTCCAGGAGGAGGTCCGGGGTACCGGTACTCGGCGCCAGGCGGGCCGGCCGGAGGCGCGCCGCCCGGGTAACTCCTGAGGGAGGGGGCGCAAGGCTATCAGACGAAAGCGCGCGGCTGGATGTCGAGGAACGCCGCGCAACACGGAGACACTGAACAAGATAGACAACTCGCGGTGGCCTATCCACTACACACATACAGATGACAAATGGCGGGCGCGCCCTGACCAAAAATCTAAACAAGAACAGGGCCATTGGAGCGCGTGAAAAAACTTGTCATAACATACAGCACCTGCGCCTTCCAATCAACTGTGGAAGTACCCCGGTCAACGCCTACTGTTCTGTCAAGCTTCAGCCACTGTCCAGCCTCCTCGCTCACCTGTTGGGGTACTGTTGCATATACTGCTGCTGCTGCTGCTGCTGGGGATGTTGTGGATGCTGCTGTGGATGCTGCGGATGCTGCTGGGGGTGCTGCCCGTGCTGGGAGTGTGGCGGGTACTCCTGGCCCGGAGGCGGCGCGCCCGGCGGTCGCTGTGGCCCTCCCGGCATGTACTGTCCGTACCCGGGCTGAGGTGGCTGCTGGCCGGGGTAGCCGTGGCCCGGGTAACCTGGCGAGTTTAGAGGGAAACGACATCAGCGCGCAGAGCGGGGCGGCGGGCAGGGGGACTAGGAGAAAAGGGGAGATAGACGTACATACAGTACTACGGCTCCTTAGTCCTTTCACAGACCCTATTTGAGCTTGACATTCGTTCAAGATAAAGTAATAAGACATATTCAACTAACGATTGCAGCACCTCCGTGCCTTATTTTGTGAGGACATAACATCAGTTATGAAACAGGGATTGGTAAGTCAAACGAAAAGAATGCCTCAACAGCCCAACAAACTCCGTTAACGAAAAGAGAAATCCAAGAAAGACACCAATACCTTGAAAAATACCGACTCATTGAGCTGCTGATTCATCTCAATGAAAGTACAACCAGCCTCTAGTCCGTCAAGCCGCGTGTCGGCCTGTACCATCCCGCACTCACCCTGCCCCGGCACTGCCGGACCATTGCCGTTGAACTCGGGCCGCGGGTAGCCGGGAGGATAACCGCCCGGGAAACCGTCCAGAGACCCAGAGTTTGAGAAACTGTCCTGGGGACCTGCTCGAATGGGGAGAGAGGAGAACGACATGTGTTAAAACTGCCCTCGGCAGTGTGAACAAAGATCAGCGAAAATAAGCACACCAGACTTCCACAACAACGAATAGGCAAACCCACACCAATATTCAGCAAGCAACGGCCAGGCATAACAGTTACCAAATGACTCAACCTTCAATGGACAAAAAGTAATGACACCAAACATCAATTTTCATAATTGTATAAAACACCTACTCTACTCTATAGCCTACCTTCCTGTCCGCTATTTTCATTCACAAACTATTCCCTCCGTCTCCCAGGCTGTCCCATGATCGTAATGACTCTTACCGGGCGACGAGGCGCGCTTGGCCTTTTTGGAGCTCTTGGTCTCGAATTTGGCGATGATGGGCGCGGGGTCGGCGCCGCCGCGGTCGAAGCGACACTCGAACGCCAGCAGGTGCTTCATGTAGTGTTTGCGGAGCGTGTAGGCGCCGCTCGAGCTGCCGCCGATTCCCATCACAGTGGCCACGTCCTTCCAAGTTTTATTCGTGGTCACCTGGATGGAGGGAGGGTGGAGCGTTAGTGGGGTCGAGGAGTACGAACAGGCAGGAAGTCAATGGTGCAAGCATGTAAATAAAGGGTCTAATTTACCAAAGAGAGTGAAACGGCTAGCAACCAATAGCTTAACCAATAGGCAGTATTCATAGAGTTGATGTCCCTCGGACTTCAAGAAGTAAGAATAGAAATAATACTCGTAATGATTGACAGGAATTGCAGATGAAACGGCCGTCAAGCAGGATATTATACCCTACTGAGCGATATGGCATCAAAATCTAACGAGCCGTTTTCAAGGGTATCAAGATGACCAAAATCGCGGCAGAAACGCAAATGTCCCCCTAGAGAGGTAGCTCAGGTTGGGATTTTCAATAGAAAATCACAATTCTAAAGAATAGTGATTGTCATAATTAAAAAGTCTCAACCTTCGGATACAACCCACGAAATCATTCGCGATCTTCACGACAAACTCCAGCCATTAGGTATGTCAAATGCTCCACGGACTTTATCACCACATGTCTCCCGTCCACTACCATCCGTCTCACTCACCTCGACAAAGCCGCCACGTTCCTTGGTGAAGTGATACAGCTTGAACAGGTCGAGCGGCTGTTTGGAGACGGTGGGACACTGCAGTATGGGCGTGCCGCGCTCCTCCATGAAGGAGAGCAGACGGCTCACCCACTCCCGCCGGCCCGGCGAATCGTCCATCTCAAACAGTCGGCCTAGACTCTCTGCCTTCTGTTGATGGGGGGCGGGGCAAAAAGAGAGTCAGACATGGGGGAGAGTACAGGACGGATACCGCCCCCCCCCCCCCGTCACATTGAGACTGGCAGAGTGAGACTGATGCGGAAGGCTGACACTCGAACATATGCATCGTAAGGTTGCTCACAGTCAAATTAACATGCACATTCGAAGACATTCGGTTCATGTTCGTTGAAAATTTCCTTATCGGCATCAACTGTTACGGTATGCTAGGTCGGTAACATTGGCAAAACAAAGCGTTAATGTGCTTGGAAAGTGATCAGCTAGTTTCAGGAAATACAGCTTGAACGAGTACTTGGGTCGCCTACGAGCTGCCCTATATTCGTCACTCATACAGCAAATAAGATGCGAAAAAATAAATAAAATAGGAAGCACATAATCCTCTTCCAATCGGAAATAAACGACACATGGCCAACACGCGAAACAGCTTCTTCGCCATTGTCAAGGACCAAAAGGACGGCTAGCAGGGCCTCCTGAATCCCGAAAGCAACTCCTGCCAGGAGGTAACTACAGAAGCGAGCCTATCACCAACAAGCAAAAGGAACCAAATTGTTGAAAGCGTTTTATAAAGGCACGAACTTAAGCAGAAAATCGACACCTCATCCAAAAATCTGCCGCCGCTGGACGAATGAGAAAATGCATTCCGATTCCAAGCTGTGCTACCAACACGCCACTTCCAAAACTGAGGTGAAAAGCATAAGAACGTTTAGAGTGAATAAGCCAATATAAGACAGCTGCTAATTTAGGTGAAGAGGTGTGTAGAAAATAAGCACCTTTGACGATGGAGTGAACGTTTCCTTCGGCGGGGCATCGCTGGAAGCCTGTAGAACAAAGTGGTGAACAAGGAGCATGATCTGGGAGATGAATAAATGCACCCGGTAGTTGTTACGCTAAAAACGCAACCGCGCAAAGTGTACACTCACGATGATTGTAGCAAAACGAGTACAAATGGATCTAGAGACAAAGTTCACGCACTTGTGGTCAGAAAGGCAAGCGGCCTCCGCATGGACACATTGCGAGCGTAAATTCCAGGAACTCGACGTTATCAGTCGCAGCAATCAGGCAAAGAAACGGCAGGCTACCGGTCAGCAAAACACACAAACACCGAACCACATTTCAGGTCAGGTCCAGCATTCACTCTCTCCCCCTCTACATACCCAAAACCGTTTTTCCTCACCGCTTATAATTCTAGTCACAGCCCCTTCCTCCCTCCCCCTAAAAAATATACAGCCACCCATCTCCCACTAAACCTCCCGTCATACTACGCCCTAATTTCCTCCAAAGATACTTCACTATCGTTAACTCCCACCTCATTCATCCATCGTCCCGACATCTTCCTCCATCCTCCCGCCTTTCTTCCTTCTCCCACTCCCCACCAGGCTTTCCCACCTTTCTTCTCCCACTCCCCCATCAAGCCTCCCCACCCCTCTTTTTTTCTCCCCTCCCCCACTCACCGAGCCCGGTGACCTGGTCCACGATGCGGCGGTCGGCCCGGGCGGCCCGGCCGGCGGACCCCCGGGACTGGCGGCCGCCGCGGGGTCCTCCTCCTGTCCCGGCACTGACGGTGGACGCAGGCCCGGTCCCGGGAACGTGAGGCCGGAGGGGGGCGGCGGCGGCGCCTGGCCGATGCCGTCCCGCCGCGGTGACCGACACGCCTCCTCAGAGTCTGCGGAGAGAAAGGGAGAAATAGTTAGAGGCGAAGGTAGGGGAGCATTCGATGGATTAAAGTCTACAGCTTGATAAGCTCGAAAGCCTATATGCGCTGAAACACTGGCCACCCCAATATCCCAAGAGCACACAGCCGAAGATAATCCAAAGAGCCGAGCCCCGCCTGCAGGTAGAACTTCCCTCCCAAACCCTGCCCTGCCGCGGCGCTCTGACACTCACTGGCGCTGGCGTTGGACAGCGTGCTGTGCTGCGAGCCCTCGTCCAGCGGTGTTCCGTCAGGGCCCATCAGAGCCGGGCCGGGCGGCGGCGGCGGCGGCGGAGCGAGCGCCTCTCCGCCCCCGCCGCCGCTGTCACTGCCCTGGGATGCGGGCCGCGACGGCTGTCCGGGCCCGTACTGCAGCTTCTGTGATATCTGGTGGCGCAGGTAGTGCGTCGAGAGCGGCGAGCCGGGCGCAGGCTTTCCGACGGACGGCGGAGGCGCGGCGCCCGCCGGCCACGGCTGGGGAGACACAGGGCGGTCAGAACAGGGAAGAGAGCGGCATGGGGCGGTTTAAGCTGAAACTAGCATGGAGATCAGGAAACGCCAGAACCTACAACAGCAGCTACAGCTACTCTGTACATACTAGTGCACAATGTGGGCTAAATCACTCCATCCTAATCAATACTCAGCCATCCAATTGGACTGATTCGCATTATATCATATCGCTATCACTACCAGTACCAGGTCCATATCCCAAATCCAATTAAACCCAAAACAGCAAGTCAGCACCACAGCATCAACCACATCCACGTGTTCGAACCGCACATCCGGTCCTATCCCACTCCGACACCCCTCTCCCACACTCTGTCTTCCCATGACACCCTCCCTCTCTCCCTCTCGCTCACCTGTTGGCCCGGATAGCCGGGGTAGTGCTGGGCTCCCGGTGGGGGCGCCGGGGCCGGACGCCCGTACGGTGACCCGTACATCCCGGCGTGACTTCCGTAAGGCATGGGTGTCGCTCCGGGCGGCGGCGGCGGCGGACCCTGGCCTTCGGATCCCGGAGGGCGGTAGTTGGGATCCTGCGCGGATCCAGGCGGTCGGTAGTTGGGATCCTGAGCGGACCCAGGCGGTCGGTAGTTAGGATCCTGAGCGGACCCGGGCGGCCGATAGTTGGGATCCGGGCCAGAACCAGGTGGCCTGTAGTTTGGATCCTGAGCGGATCCAGGCGATCGGTAGTTGGGATCCGGGCCGGATCCAGGTGGCCGGTAGTTGGGATCCTGTCCGGGTCGGTATCCAGGGTCCTGGCCCGGCCGGTAGGCGGGGTCGTGTCCCGGCGGTCGGTAGGGTTGCTCGGGTCCGGCCGGTCGGTATCCAGAGTCCGGACCCGGCGCGCGGTATCCGGGGTGCGGCATGTATCCCGGCTTGCCGGCCGCTGGAGGCACGTATGGCATCGGCGCCAGCCGCTGAGACGGGTCGGGCCGAGCCGACGGCCGAGGGGGCACGCCCACTACCGGCTGACCTGGCGACATGGAACGGCAGCGTGGTCAGAGAACAGAGACACGGGGCGGCGCACGGTCAGAGAATGGAGGCACGTAACGTCGCACGATCAGATGGGAGAGATACACGGTCAGACATCAAAGGGGGCGGCACAGTTCATTCAGGCTGATACAATACAGGGTGGCACACAGTAGCATGACACAGTAGCACAGGAACGTCAAAGGGCTATATGAGAACTGAGAACATGAAGCGCACGACATGAATGACATAAGGCCACACGAGCATAGCTAGTACGTATCGAGGAACCGCACACGATAGCACACCGGAACGATTTCGATTGAAATCCCGCTACTCGGTCACCTTTCAAACGCCCACCTGTCCTCCCCTTCTCCCCTTCCCACCGCTCTCCCCCGCACACCACTGCACTGGTCGCCCCACCGCGCCGGTCGGTCGGATCAGTCCAATTTCCGCGCCGCGTCCCGGCAGTATCAGCTGATGCCATTAATCACCCCTCCCCTCCCCACAACCGCCGGCCCCACGCAGCAGTGTCTCCCACGAGTGGTCCGTTGGCACGAGTCCGGTGTGAGTGCGTGGGTCTGCGCCCGGGTCCCTCCACCCCTCCCGTCCTCTGGGAGGCCACGGTCAGGGTCGTAACTGCCACGCGCTCTTAGGAGGGAAGGCGAGACTGCACATCTAGCTAATTCAGCCAACAATCTGAGAAGTGGAAAAGAGGTGACCCCGCCTGAAGATAAACTGTATGCACACCAAATCAAGAATATGCCTCCACAACCAGCACTTTTCCGGATATACAAGGACTAATGGATCTCGTCCCCCGACCTAACAGTCTGCTGGCACCATGTCTGTTCAGTAACTGGTCGGAGTTCAGTAACTGGTCCCCAGATCATCATCTACCGGCCACGTGTTTGCCTATGGCGCTCGCTCTAAGTTCGCTCTAGATCGCTCGGAGTTAGGTCTATCATCTCACCTCCTGCCGGAGACATGGGTGTCGGTCGGCCGGCGGCAGCGGCGGCGGCCGTGGCTGCAGCAGCTGCAGCTGCTGCTGCGGACCGTCCGCCCGGGGGAGATGACTCGTGCTCGGGCAGCGTCGCCGCCGACTCTGCTGCCGTCTGCTCCTGTAACGGCAACGACGGGGTCGTCAGGGGCAACGTCACACTGGTTAGCAAAAGAACGATACGGGTCAACGTCAAAGACTGTTTAGCGTCGGTCCTGAATTCTGTTAAGCTAGACGTGTAACGATCTGGAAAAGATATCTAAAGAAACAAAGCAGGGAGTCTATGCACAGCAGTACCAACACAGCAGGAGTGTGAAGAGTAGTACCAAAAGAGAGGGACCGAGAACAAGGATGGTCCGGTCGCACCAATGCCATAATGGCGCAGGGCACTTGCCGGCGCATCCGTCCTGTATGCGCTAATCGCTCAACGCAGACTCGACACAGGAAGGCTTATAGCTTGAGCTGACATAACGCTGCAGTGCCGTAGAAATCGCTCGTGTCTTATCCCATACGCTGCGTGAGTCACTAAACGCTAGAGTAAATAAAGACTGAAGTATATGTCATGGATTAGACTGGTATTCAGCCACACACTATTATGCTCTTGCATCCCATGTAGCGCTCACGCCATCCTTTCCGTGCGCCTGGGACACCAGCCCCACATACCAGACCGCCCGCCCCTCCCCGCCGCCACCCAACAAAGACCATCGAACGGCCTACACACCACCGTACAACACTCGCTCACTATAACAGCATGCCACCCGGGAGCTCCCAGTTCGCAGAAAGCCCCACGTGTTCCTGAGAAGCTCCCGGGGCCAACGCCAGTCCGACCCCCGCCCGGCCGACCGGTCGACCGCGCCGCGGCGCCAGCGACCCTCGCCGGCCGCGCTGCTGACTCAGGAGAATCCATCGCGCCCAGTCGGGTGACGTCACCCCGAACGGGAATGCATCAGATAGGAGCGTCGGCCAGCCGAGGGCGGACCACGTGAGCTTTCCGGGGGCGTGTTTACTACCCGAGTGCTATTATTTTACGCCGCTTTGAGATGCCCGCCAGACGGATCCCAGACTGAAGGGACCGGAGCTAAATGAGGGGTGGACATTCGGGGAAAATTGCGGTTATGTGGGACTTCACACTGACATTTCGGCTTAACGAAGTAATGGAGGGACGATGGCGAGACGATACAGTGCAAAATCTCATAAAATGATCCGCTAAACTAAGCACTAGCTTACTCGCCAACATTAGTTCCCGCCAAGCGTCGGCTACTGTCAGGCAGAGCCGAACCCCCGTCTGCCTTCCCGAGACGGTGGCCATGCAAAAACCCCGGCTTTTCTTGATGGACCCATTCAGCGATCAGCTGATCGGAAGGAATTCGGAAAATGTCACAGCACGTGCTATTGTTGAAGTGGGCGGGGCCGCCGTTTCGCGTTAAAACACTGGCCTGTGACACAATGCCGGTTATGCAAATAGCGCGACCACAGGAATGCATGTCCACTCGGTGAGGGCCACGCACGTGTGCCGTTTCTCCGGCATATCGCCCATTGAGCCACGCCGAACCAAATAATAGGTGTTATAGATATAAAACAACACCTAACGGTAACTATAAGAACCCGTCTGTCTACATGTCGAACAAAGAGGGAACTTAGTGTGCCTATGACCAGGACACATGGAAACCAGCCCGAAAAAAATGCAATATCCAGAGGACAACAAACAATATAAAAACGTGCCACAAATACCAAATAACCATTAAAAAAACAAAGCACACGCAAATATTAAACCTACCACCATATAACTAATGCAGCGCCTCGTTCAGTACAGTTCTTCGCCACGATCCAGCCACTATAAGGCTCAAAATTCCACTTGAACACAAACGTTATGTCTCCAAACACCACTGGAGCACCGGAACACGGGCAGGAGCACCGGTAACCCCGTCCCGTCGGCCCACCGTAGCACCCGGCGCGGTAGGCGCTCGGCCCTCTGTCCCCGGCCCAGCCCGGCCCGCCCGCTGCCGCCGCCGACCGGTACGGTCTCTGACACCGAGCCCCGGCACAGCTACAGCGGCCGCCGCTGCGGCGCGCCGCGCGCTCAGAAAAAGGGTACCGGGCTTTTTTGGCGGACCAATTTATTTGCACCCGCCGGGCCGCCGGGCGCCGGTGCAAGGTTACGGGCGGCGGCGGTGGCGGCGGGCACTGGTAGACATGAGCGGTGCCACAAAGCGACTGTGAGTGGCCGATTATTTTCATAGTGACAGATCCGCAAGATTTTTGGCACTGTCCGAAATTTCCGTGGAAAACAGCCCCTTTAAAAAAATGCCTAAACAAATAAGGTCAAATAGTTCAATCCCGCGTTTAAACGTTTCATCTATATTAAACCGTTGAAGTAATGTGGGTTACGCATTTATGACTTGCGCATTTATGCATGGCTAGCAACCCGCGCCAAGAAGGTGGTCCGATCGTAACATGTCGCGGCGGGGGTCGGACGTTTTTACTCCCCCTCCCCCACCTAAATCGGCCAGTAATGAAACGTGGAAAGCAGCGTTCAAAAAAAAAATGACGAAAAAATAACAAAGAAAGTTCTCCCGTCAATTTATGGGTAGGGTTAAAGCAGTAGCGGCGGAACATCTTCAATTAAGGAGGGGGGGGGGGGGGCACTGCCGACTTTTGGTCCCATTCTTTCCATGCAACGCCCATAGGGCTTATGTTAAAATGGCAAAATCAAGGGGGGCACGGTGCCCCCCACCCCGTTCCGCCTATGGGTTAAGTCAGGTAACCAGAGGCAAGCAAGGTAAAACTGTCCCTATTTCGACATCCTTTGAGAAATCGACTCATCTGGCTCGTGAGATAGAACATCGCGGAAAAGGAGTTTATCAGCTCTATTCAGTCTTTCGCAATTGCGTCCTCCGATATCACATATGACCTACGGTTAACTAGGACAAAACTCTTGAAAATAGACGATTTTGTTGATTTTTCCTACAACAACTTTTGACAGAAACTTTGTATGAACTTAATTTTATCAGCATCGTGTTCCTTTCGTTGGGACACGTCCAGTGAACTGTAATTTGAGCTTAACAGGTCAACTTGGAAATTTGACCTAAGGTCAAGGCCATTATTAGACCGAAAAAGATCATGTTACATATCATTTGCTCTATATCGTTGAGCTGAACAAATCAAAGGCGCTTTCACCGCTCCACCGTGTGTGTCACGTTATTGCAAAAAAAAAAACTGCTCGTGACACTCATGGCCCACGATGACCAAGAGCATAAGTGGGGCCAGGGTTGCAATTTTACGACTCAGCATTCCACATTAACCTGAAGCACGACATTTGAGTGATAAATATGACGTCCATTCACAAAAACCATAGTTCAATTTTTCCCCACTAACCTGAGGCATCATGGAGCAGCCGAAACAATGACGACCCGACAAAGAAACTCGAGATAAGTTTTATACATCTTGTCACCCTTATAGTAATCTTTCAGTCGAGGCTGCTTTGGCTAGCATTTCAATTTTCGTCATATCTTGACGTCTCTTAGTCTTGACGCCTTGCCATTTCGTGACGTCTTGGTCCTTTAATGTGACCTGGGTGACCTAACTTGATTAACCTGAGACTGGAATTTTAATGCATGCATAAAAACGTCCATAAGTGTAGTCCCCCCACAGTAATTTCGCCTCCATGCAGCTGTATGTAAAAGTGGGTGCATTTTTGGGGTCAGAGAACTCAATCCTGAAGCCGACAGTGAGCCCCTGGTCAACCATCTGTGTCAATGACCGAACGCTGGCATCAACTGCACTCTCAGGATGCTGACAAATGGTGTATCAGATGTCCGAGCATATGACCATCGAAGACTCAGCTAAAAACGGCTTCTTCGGTGCTATCCAGTGTTGGGTTCGATACTGTGCTCAGCTCGGCAGGCCGACCGCGCTGGGGCGAAGTAGAATCACAATAACAAGCGATTTATAAGTAAAAAAGGTGCGCAATTATGGAAACGGCATCATTGCTGTTTTGAGAAAAGGATAAGCCAGAGTTGGGTTCAAACATTGCAAATAGTTATCTTGTTCGAAAAAAAAAATTGGCTGCTCTGTATGAAAGTTGGAAGGCTATTTCAAGCGTTTATCTACACAGATTAGAATCTAAAATTTATGCTTCTATACATAGAACAAGCACGATACCAACCAATAACCAGAGGCGTGCCGATCCCGGTAAATCCCAAATCGACACATGTTATGTGTTGGCAGTGACGTTAATGATCTGGCGCAAACGTGCATTGTTTCTGCATGAAGAAAACGGCATTATATCCAGCAACTATTATGTGCAATCACTAAGAGCTTATCAAATTATTTAGAATATCGCCCCGACCTTCGTATAACAACAACAACCATTTATTTAGAAACAAAGTTGACGACAGTGGTGTTATGGGGAGATGGCACAAAGGCCCACAGCCTATCACTAGCCACCATCCCCCAGTATCGATCCCCAGTATCCCAGTATACCAGTATCGTATCGATCTAATATCATATTTGTACACTTACTGGGCTGGGTACTTCGATCCATAATTTAACCGTTAGCATTTTGCCCGAGAAGTCCTCGTTATCAATGAGTTTTGATGGAAAGCATCACGAAGCATCCATGACTGTATCCTCAGCGTCATAAGCGAAGACAACTGCTAAACTCGCCGCTCACAAATACCTATCTCGAGCCCTGCATAATGCATACCTGCCTATTGCCTATCAGACAACCAGCCGGCCGGCCGGCTCTGTGCCGTCGCCGCTACGGCCGGCCGGCCGACCCGGCTCGCCTCGGCCTGCCTGGCTGGCCCCGAGCCGCGGCCGCGGCGGCCCGCCCGGCTGGCTGGCTGGCGTATCGCGGCCGGCCCGCCGGCAGCCGACGCTTGAAAGCACGGGCGAGCGGCGTGGCCGGTCGGCCGGGCGGGCAGGCGGGGGGCGCCAGATGCGGCCGCGCGGCAGCGGCAGCGGCAGCGGCGGCGGCGGCGGCGGGTCGCCTCCCTCGCCGGTTGGCGCTACGATCGATTTGCCAGGCCGGCCGACGGACGCGGCCCGAAAAACACCGGGCCAGCCGCGGCGGCGGCGGCGGCGCGGCCGGCAGGGGGCAGCAGCGGCCGCCGGGCCGAGCCGGCCGCGCCGCCGCCGCCCGAGATGGCCCTCTGGCCGGGGCGGCGTCGCCAATCGATGGTAGCTATGGCGACGCTACTGATCTATGGGCACCTGGCGCGTGCTTGCACCGTGCGCAGCCGGCGCCGCGGCCGTCGGCGCACCTGATTCATTCTGCCCGGACGCCGACCCCGTGTCCATGGGAGGCGGACGGGCACGGTCACCGGCCGGCGCGGAAAAGTACCACAGCGCCCGAGGAAGAAGTCTGACAGCTCAGATCCAAGAGTAAAAACTTAAGGATGAGAACACGACAATAAGTCAGATCCATGCTAGCTAGCAAGCAAAAAATGTTTTATTGCGACCTCCGCGGTTGCAACGCAAGAAATGCTCCCTGACCGTAACCAGAGTCAGGTCACAAGGCACGTCACAAAGGTCAAACATGTTCATCCATCGTGACATTTTGCCTAGACAGCTTAATGGCATGGCGATGAAAACATGAATGAACCCAGCCACGACGTAGAGAAATACCCGGAACCATGCCGGAGGCCTTTTCTGTGAATTAGGATCAGTAGGACTGACATCAAACTAAAGAAACCCCAGCCAAGGCAATATTCAGCGCCCTGCCCAACGTAAGTACGGAATAGGGATCTATCAGACGCTAAGTTCGCCAAGCTTGAGAACAGAGACTGATGCGTTGAAAAGCTTCTGGTGCTTTAACCACTGGCAAGACTAAAAGCTACGAAAAAATGACAAAACCGTTCCTATGGGGTTGCTCCAGCATTGGCTAAGCTGAGCTTCATCAACTAAAGGACTTTCCTTTCCAATGCATGCACCGATAGGAAGAGGCGGAAATAAGCACGAAAACATGGACAAAAGGTTGAGGTGTATAAGAAGGCAGCAGACCCTAGCAAACAACGCAAAATGGACACTGATCTATCAAATATATCCTGATTAAGCAGTATGCACGATCAACATCATTTATGCACAATCGATTGGTTTTCCGTTGCGGCCTGCACAGTTTGGATAGTTCCCTCTCCCTGACGGCAGCCACTCCCTCTCCGCCAGCACTGCCTTGCATCCAATGGGCGGCGGGCTGACTGTACGAGCAGCGGTGATGATATAGATTTACGGAGGCCGTAACCACAAGGTTACAAGGCGCTGCGCCTCAGAGCCGGCCATGAACGCTGCAGCGGCCGACAGGCCGGCTCCATGACAGCCACGATCGTGGCGCAAACACGTGGGGAAAGCGCCACGGGAGGCAGAGAACCGTTGGCGAAGAGCCGATGTCTGAAGTGCTGAAGCATGTCGAACGAATGATGTGAAACCGTGAGCGAATAATGAGATATTCTTGCACAGAAAATAATTACCATCGGTAAGATTTAGTTGCTAGTTCCCAATATATCTAGCACGGTTTGGGTGCCGAGCTGTCATCAGCATATCTTCAGTAACACACTGCCGCGCTATGCAAATAGCAGCATACGTGGATGCCTTCGCCGAACCACTCAATGGGCTCGCAAAGCAACCGTACGACGCGCGTTTCCCGTCATAATCCTTCCCGGAAAGCCATAATCCGCGCCGTTCGAGTTCCCACGCCGCAAATACCAAACCCGAGACGATGCTGTCGGCACGCCCCCTCCCCCTCATCCCAGTCACAGAAGCCGCCTAACCGTTCGGTGGACCGGTCGCCGCCGCCCGGGATCTCATTATCTACTACATCGCAGCGGTCGAGGCGGCACCTCACACACAGTAATCACTACGATCGCCCCCCCCCCCCGACCCTCCCCACTACAGCGGAGCGGTCACCGGGTCCGCAGAGCCCAGCGGCTCGGAATGCGGCGCCGGCTGTCACCCCCTCCCCCTCCCTCCCAGACCGGAAGCGAGGTCGACCTTGCCTTGGCTGCGGCGGCAGACGAGCCGGCGTGGAGGGGAGGGGAGGGGAGGAGAGGGGAGGGGACTGGGGAGGGGAGGGGAGGCCACGTGTCGTCGTGTGTAAACAATGGCTGGCGGCAGAGCCGGTCAGCTGATCGGGCTAGTGGTTCGCGGAGGGGAGGGCGGACCCGTGAGACTGAGGACGGCTAGTGACAGTCACCGCCTGATGAAGGCAGTGAGATAGGGATGTACCGGGTACGCCGGGAGTGACTGTGTGACTGACTGACTGACACTGGAGAGACTGACCGACCGAGTGACCGACCGACGCTGGACCAGGGAGTGAGGAGACTGTCATTCGCTTGGATTCCATTGACTGATACTGCTTGAAAAGGCCGACTGACCGACACAAACTTCTGATGGCCGAGAAGCGAGTCAGGAAATGATGGAAGGAGCGAGCCACTCTTGGATGAGACGTTCACCAAGCCATTCCCACCCTACTCAAAACCAGGAAGGCTGGGGCAGAACTGAAGAAAACACGTCATTGAGTTGAATCAGGAGCATGTACAGTCTGTCTTAAAAGTACCGAGCAAAGTGACGGTGGATCCATCAAGCCTGACCGAGGAAGGACTGCTAAATTTGAGTCACCGAAGCAATGGACATCCTCGTCCATTCCCCAGGTCAATTGGTTCGGTGACTTTCAAATTATAGCAGGGCCTTCCTCGGTCAGGCTTGATGGATCTACCGACACTTTGCGCGGTACTTTTAAGACAGACCGTACACTTTGTACAGAGCCTAGCATCGAACGATCCCGCGCCTGTCCAAAGGTCAAAACCATCGGTCAAAACCGATCGCAGACTGCTTAGAAACGACCAGGTCAGCCTAAGGACCTGAAGTATTGCGTTGCTAATATGTGCCACTTGCTACCTATTTTGAAATGACCCTTGAAATCCCTAAGTCCGACTGGGGGGGGGGGGGTGGTCAGCATGAATCTAAACGCAGAGTGGCGGTTCAGCTGAGTCACATGTCGGTTCCAGCAGCCCAGAGTTCCACACCACCGCTCGAACACAGCGCGTCAGCGATTAATATCATAGGCCTATTTAGATAAAAAGGGTCATAAAATGGATCATGTCACCTTCTCTAATGGTTAAGGAAATTTGAGAGCAATCGGCCCAGACGTCCTCGAGATGTGGAAGCGAACGCCTGCACGTTCGCTGCAGTAGGACCACAGCCGTGATACATGAAAATCCATGACCTGGCAGCCAGTTGTTTACCTACCGATATGCCAGCAATCGGCCATTGTTCAATTATTGTCATGAGAAAACAGGTGGCATTTCATTTGCACGTGCCACGTGCAGTGCTGGTTGCCACTGGTTACCCACATGCCATCGGTCACTGATTACCCATCCACAAATAATAGTCTACTTACTACTACCTTTTTACAGCTAGGTTTCTTACAAAAAAGACCGCAAACCCATCTGTCTACTGGTTTCTGATATACAAGCCTTTCAAAGGCGTGACCACGGCCGGCCGCCCATGCCCAGAAAGTTCCGTTCCTACGGAAGACTTCGCTTCGCGCTCGCTCGTAAAGGATGGACAACATAAACATTACAACCTACATGCAAATATGATTTTATGACGAACACAAAAATTCAATGTTCAAAACAGACACATTAAATATGAGCCATTAGCAAAAACTTACATGTGAAATGCCAAGCTAGCTAATGGTTTGCTTTTCAAAACTTTTTAGTCCGCATCAGAGTACACTATCTTCCAGACATTGCTTCAAGTTTTACGCTGATTCACACGAGATATTTTCAGGATTTCAGCGCAATTATCATCCTGGCAATTGACATATTTGCATTAAATTTGAGCTGTAGCTGCGTTGCATTACAATATCGCGATCGATTCCATCAAGAACAGACGGAACATTGTTAGATTAGAAGTTCTCGGCTCGTTTTTACCGAAACTGAAATTTGTGATACCGGCTTCTGCGACTAACAGCTGTCCATGGATTATGGAAAGATGTTGAAACATAGTCGTTGGGGAGTAACTCTAGTGATCACTTATGTATCTAAAGTAACACTCACCGGGTTGTCTGCGGCCGACTGCCGGCTGGAGGGTCGAGAGCCCGGCTGCTGAGACTGCGGAGACGGCACCGGCTGCTGCCGCTGCTGCGGCGACTGCGGAGGTCGCAGCTGCTGCTGCGGTGACTGCGGTGGCCGCAGCTGCTGCTGGGGTGACTGCGGGGGTCGCAGCTGCTGCTGGGGTGACTGCGGAGGTCGCAGTTGCTGCTGCGGCGACTGTGGCGGTCGCAGCTGCTGCTGGGGCGACTGCGGCGGTCGCAGCTGCTGCTGATGCTGCTGCTGTTGTTGAAGATGCTGCAGCTGCTGTTGCTGCTGCGGCGACTGCGGCGGTCGCGGCTGTCTCAAATCCTGGTGTGGGGACGGAGGCGGCTGGTGCTGATGAGGCGACTGCGCAGGAGCAGGCTGCTGCTGCTGCTGCTGCAGGTGCTGATGCGGGGACTGAGGGGGATGCTGCTGCAACTGCTGCGGAGAAGACGGCGGCTGCTGATGCTGTTGCTGCAACTGCTGGTGAGGCGACTGGGGCGGCTGTTGTTGCTGCTGCTGCTGCTGCAGCTGGTGATGGGGCGACTGCGGCTGCTGCAGCTGCTGGTGCGGAGACCGGGACGGCGGCGGCGGCTGGTACGGGGAGCGCGGCTGCAGGTGCTGCGGGGACTGCGGCTGCTGCGGAGAGCGGGCTGGCAGCGGTCGGTGCGCCGCCAGCTGGCCGGCTGTCGGCGGCACCAGCTGCGGCGACCGGGGCCGCGCCGCGGCACTGTACCCGGCCGGAGGAGGACGGTGCTGGTCCCACGGCCCCGGAGGGTATCCATGGCCCGGAGCGGCCTGGGGAGGACACAAACACATTGCAGCACATACACAGATAGGAAACAGGGCCAGCCAAGCGGCAGAGGCAGGCATATTTCACATGGACATTTTGTTCATACAAAATATCGCACATAACAAATTTGACCCATCGTAAAACATTAACACTACAGCGAAATTAACAGTTCCAGGTTAATGCTGATAGTCCTCTCATGTTGCACAAGCACCACGATCTCAATCTCACCTGAGGTCGGGGCACGCCTGGAGCACCAGCGTAAGGGTGGTGCCTCAGAGGCGGGCCGCCCGGCTTCCCCTCGGCTGCCAGCTGCTGGTGCTGATACATGTAGCCCATGCTGCCTGGGACAGATGGACCGTAGCCTGGGTACTGCTGCAGCATTCTCGGAGGGTACCCACCGCCGGCGGAAAGGTACCGTGGTGGCTGGCCAGCCTGCGGTACAGACAGAATTACTTTAGAACCCCAAAAATTGAATGAGGTTAAAATGAATGTTATGTAAGGCTTGTTTCTTACCAAACTGCTACCTAGCCCAATAATGCTTGCTGCTTGCAGGATGGTTGCATAATGATCATTGATGCAGGTTATTTAACCTAAAATTAATGAGTAGTTGAGGTCTCTGCCCTCCCAGATCTAGACAAGGAGACTAACTAACTACCCAGCAGTAGTCAGTCAAAAGCATAGTCACAAACATTTCCAGCCTGGGTAAATGGTTGCCAGTCTGGGTGAGTCAACAAAATTGTGCCATCAGTGCTGTAATGCTTAGCTGGCAGGTTTGTAGGGCCACAATTTGCAAAGTATAATATAAGTATTGATTACATCATCAATAACAAAAAACATCATCAATAAGCAACCACTTACTATTCCAAAAATTTGCATTCCTGGTCCTACTGCCCTGCCTTGTTGAGAGGCATCGCCCATTGATTTTCCAGGAATATAATTATTAGGAGTGGGTCCATTTCCAGCTCCATTCCCGTTTGCAAAAACAGGTCCAGTACGATCTTCTTCAGCGGAAGCGTGGGGCTGAATCTCAGAGGTTCTTTCATTTTCTGCCCCAACCGAAGCCATTTTCTCGCCGTTGCATCCGACGAGGGCCACGCCGCACCAGTGTCATCGAGCGTCACCACCTGAACGGCGCACCTATCGCAACCATTCACAAGCACTTTTCTTCAAGGTAAAGTATAACAATAAAAAACAACTACAAAAGCAATCATTTTATCAATATAATCGATACATTGCCATCCACAAAAAACACCCGCGCGCGGACTCGTGCGTCGCTTTCCAACTGCCGTTCAACTGCGGCGTTTGCGTATCTTTTATTGGCAGTCCTATCGGTGGCTCACCTAGGGAAATTATGGCGAAATCAGACTCACTTGAAAATTCCTACAAGAAACCTCAATATAACAGTGAAGTGATTATGCACTACACATGGTTGAGTAGTGGGAGTCAGAGTCGGAGTAGGAGTTGGTCGGAGTCGATAGTTGTGACCGGAGTCCAAGTCCAGAGTTGATTTTCGAAGCCCAAGCCGGAGTAAGATTCGGAGAAAACCCATTGACTCCTCCGCAGACATGCCCCTTGCCAAATGCCAGGCCTGCGGAGTCGGAGTCGGAGTCGATCTGAGTCGACCTGCTCGGTATCGGAGTCGGAGACGTAGATGATTTTGTAAGCTGGAGTTTCATACGACTTGGAGTCACCGAAAATCCATCGACTCCGCGCAGCCATGAGGTGAGAAACGGCGAATTCGTCCCCCCCCCCCAACCATCGGGTTTTGACGGAGCCCTTGATAAATAGTCGTTGCCGCCAGTCGCCAGACGTGCTTTTATACACGCCAATCACCATCCGAAAACACCAACATTCCTGAAAACACTTGCCTTGAGAAATAAAATTTTATCTAGAGACTTTTCGACGAAATTCCCAAGAGATTCCCTAGTCTTTGCACTATCAGACCTGCAAAAAGATAAGCACGTTACACAAACCTTTTATGGCATTTATTGCATTGACTTTTATTTTGAATAATTCCACAGTTCTTTATGCACCGTGAATCAAGGTGATCCCGTGAATTCCACTTGACAGTTGACACATCGATAGCTCAATGTTGCTGTGTGCTTTCTATTTTTGATTATTTTTATAATTGTTGTCTTGTATGGGCTGCCTGCTGGCAAGAACAAGAACAAGAAGCCCTAAGTAAAATTGTTCCTTCAACTTACAGGTAGGGAATCATGATTGCAGGATGGGGCTACTTATATGGCCTTGGGAATTGGGATGGCAGGTGGATTGGAGTTGTGCAGTCTAATACCAGTAATTATTTGCAACTTAAGTGACGTGACCACTGACCAGTGACCACAGCCTCTCAAGTTGTTGGGGGCCACAGTATTAATTGGATTATTTGCCAGCTTTCGCCGTATGATGGCGCTAGCAGAGCTTGTTACATATATACCAAATATGTACCAAATTTCAGCGCAATCGGCTCAGCCGTTCTCAAGATCTGGAATCGACCCCTGCACGTGCACATGTGCAGCAGTATCCCAACTGTGACACATGAATATGCATTGCCTAGTGGTTGCCTACCTACATGCTAACTTTAAGCGCAATCGGCCCAGTATTTACCGAGATATTGCAATTGATAAAACTTGCACCTCTTTGTTTTGCATGGGACATGCATAAGTGGTCACCCACATGTATCGAAAATAGTTCATTACTTGGTAGGAGGAATGAAGCTACCTTACGAAAATTACCGCAAGTAAATCAGTCAAGTGCTGTGGTGGCGGAGATATAAGCTTCGCAAAAGCGTGACCACGGCCGACCTCAGACATCTCCGTTAAAGGGACCCTCCCACCTTCAAAAAAGTTAATGAATTGGCATGAAAGTGATGTCGCTCGGTTCAGAAAGAGCGAAAACGAATAACTACCAAATTTCATCGAAAAATATTCACAGGTTTTCCAGATATTAGGCTTTTACTTTTGTTTACTTTTTGGCATCTCTGCTGTTCCTAGCGACTGTATTTGAAAGTGTGGCACTTGTTGCGTGCAAAGCAGCATATACCACCGTGTGCTACCAAACATTTAAGTAAAAGATTTAAAATTGTTAGATCTGTGCTGACGTCACACATTCAGAGGGGCATTCTAATCATCTAATGCATTAACCCCTCTGAATCCAAGTGCTGCAACTTTGAAATTAGATATTTTCGATTTGAGGCATTTCTCGATGTAGTGAGTGCTCAAATCGGTAAGTGCAAGCCAGGGACCCCATTTTGGCTATCTCAACTCAAAACTAATGTTAAGGTGGGATGGTCACTTTAATTAATCTATATAGGAAAGACTAAGCTCACTTCGCTGATCGCTCGCTCCGCAAAAATGGCCGGTAATGTCTGTATTCAGTGTTGGTGATTTTTGATAAATCACGTCCAATGTTTCTGCCGAAGATTCACGAAGGCTGCGTGTTTCAGCCAGCATGTCTTCAAGGGGCGGATCGGATCCCAGAGCGGAGCTGGCGGAACTGGTGAAGAAAAGAGCCGACATATCGGTAAGCAGCCTGGCCTGGAGTAGCTGGTGCCGCTCAACTGTTCAAATTTGCCTGCCTTGTTTTAGATACTAACTTGGCAAAGTAACTTAGTACCTACTTCACTCTAGGAGGGGATCGAGGACAAACAAATATGGTTCGCGGAATCAGTAAAGCAAGTTTGGGTGCGTTCTTCATCTTTCCTTTGCTCGGAAGAAGCGTTTGACGCTGAGATACACTCATTCCTCTTTCTATTTCACAATTTAAGTGTCTTGTCGCGCATTCTTCATTGAATAAAATATTTTTACCGCAATACCTAAGGATAACGTAAATATGGTTTCCTGGAATCGGACCTTCATACTAGTTTACTTATACCGGTCTTTCCGTCATCCACAGCAGGCCAGTGTGCAGTCAGCAGTGGGTAACTAGCGTAGGTACTGCGCCCTTTGTAGCCTCGCTGCCACGCTCCTTTCGCTAGAGGAGCTTGGGTTCGACCCCCGTGCCTGTCTGATTCCTCTCATCGCGCCGCGGCAGGAGACGCTGGCGAACCTGGAGCGTCAGATCTACCTGTTCGAGGGTAGCTACCTGGAGGACACCCAGCAGTACGGCAACATCATCCGCGGCTGGGACCGCTACCTCTCCGTCAACAAGAACAGCACCAGCAAACAGGACAAGCGCAGCAGGAAGTTCAAGGACGCCGAGCGACTCTTCTCCAAGTCGTCAATCACATCGATAGCGGTGAGTGCGAGATTGCCATTTGCCAATGTAGAAGACGGAGGACAAAGGTGCAATAGTTTAAAATTGTAATGAATTGTTGGCTGAGTTATATAGTCACTGCCAGAGAGTATTGTTCCGACAGCTATGTCGTACAGTGTACACTGTACACTGCTCATTTTTAGGTTTCTTTTGTTACCTACGCCATACATTAGAATATTCAATATGGTGCATTGTTTGCGGTCTTCTCCAACGAAGCTCCTTTGCTTAGGTGACTTTTTGGTCAATTACTATGATTATGTGCCATAGCATGATTATATAAATGCGGTTCACTCGATGTGTATGAGATTATTGTCGTCGTTACCATTTCGGATTGGCATCCTTTAGCATTAAGGATATTGTGTTCTTGAATCGTTACGCATGCGGGATGGCCCAACAGATTAAGATTTATGTGACTTTCCTGTATGGTATTACGAGACGGCACTCATGTTTATTTGTTGATTTCCAGGCGGTGAACGGCAGCATGGAACACAATCACCACTCCTGTGAGTATGGATTACGTTACGTTAAAGCTTAGAAAATGCTTCCGACATTATTCATTGCTTTTACTCCAACCCGTTGTAGTCGATGAGAAAGTGTGTAATAGTGCGCAGCGATGTGCCAATTGCCAACCCCGCCGAGTCACTGACGGCGCGGTGCGTGCCGTTTCAGACCGCGGCACCGATACAGACTCCCAGGGCGCCCACAGCGGATCTGAGGAGGTGAACGGCTCCGTAGACGGCGTCAGCGACCTCAGCGAGCGAGACCTCTTCCGCGCCAAAAAGAACCGGCTCAAGAAGGTGTCGAAAAAGGTGCCGCGCCACCGCTGAGCTCGGCATCTGTGGATGGGTGCTGTGGGTGGGTGGAGTGTGACCCGCGCCGAGGAGGGTGGACGGTGGGTGTCCACCAGCGCTGCTACAGCTGACAGCGGCTATGGAGACTGGTTTCAATCAGCCGAGGAGGGTTGGAGGTGGACTGTGGATGCCACCAGTGCTGCTACCGCTGAGAGCGGCGACACATGGAGATTGGCTAATCATGTCATGGGCGGCCGCAGGTGGGCGCCCTCTAGCGCTACGCTATGGCTCGGAGCGGTAATGGGCCAAGACTGGTTAAGACGCCACGGACAACTTCCCGCTCGTTATGACCAACTGGACGATGCCCAGCAGCGTGTTGAGCTCTGTCATGAGACTGATGTACCTGGTGCTGGTGATTGACCAGCGCCGAGCGGACGTGCTTATTCTCAAACATTCATCGCTGGCGTGGGTGTGTACTGCGTATAGCCAGCGGTATTCAATAATGCCGAGCACAGTCGTACGAGGAAAGTGCGGCTGTGCAGAATGACTTGTACTGTTTCCTAGGTTTACAGCTGTAACCGAATCGATGGTGACCTGCTCAGCATTCGTGTGTAGTGTTTCAACTGTGTAACCCCGTGTACCTGTGTTCCTCTATGAAATGCACCGAACGTCATTCATGTCCAGTAGTATTTCATCTGCGGGCACGGAACGATTCGGAGCGAGGTTTCCATGATGGCCGGAAGATGGCAGCTCTCGGGACACTTTAGTATCGACATCCGTCTGAAACACTAACCCTTTTGTCATCATATTTATGTATATCTTCAGTCACATTTCAATACTAGTGAGCAAAGAGTTATGGAATCGAAGCCTCATAGAGGCCACATTCTAGAGGTCTACGACGGCAAAACGTGCGGCAAAGCACAATAAATTAGGTCTGGTATAAACCTGTCGCTTGCAAAGCCATTGAAGATCGTGCTCAATGAAAGTTATTATTGCAAAAGCAAATGTAAAGGTACCCGGAATCCAAAAACAGACGCTTCAAATGTGCGTTTGTACGAGATCACAAAAACATCAGCCGGATGCGATAAGAATATTACAATCACGGATTCAGTTCCGGGCTTCATTTATCATTATGTAAGAACATTATATTTGCATCCCAAGAACTATTCAATCATCTGATGCCAGGTGAGCAGCAAAGTTTATGTCTAACAAGCCTTGGACGCCTTCCGCCGTCGTCACCGCTTCTTGGCAATGAGGACGAAGTTTCGAGGCGACATCTTGGGGTCGAAGGCAGCTACCAATATGCTAGGGTGTCCTGAAACGAATCAGAGTTCCGTCAGTATGTCAAAATCAACTGCCATATTGATGAAAGCATTTCACATGGTACGATCCTCACTTGGTGGGCGTTCTGGTCATCTCGACGCAGGTAATTGTAAATTCTGACCCATTTTATGGTATGTATATCCTTGCAATGTTATTATTTCATGATCCCTATCGAAGGCAAATGTATGAAAGGCAATTGTTACATGCGATTCAACAAGTTCAAGAAATTCAAAGACGTTGCGGATTATAAATAAAAAATCATAATACCGTATCAAAAGACCACGGCCGAATAAAAGGGGCATCTGAGTTTGCACTGTTTGTAGGAATGGAGGAAGAGTGGGTGTGATGGATATTGACATAGCCTGGTAAACTAGCCAACTCATGGGAGGGTACGAACGACGTATGCCGGAGCGTGAACATTGAGTAATGATGTGGCTTTCATAGCAATGGTGAGGTGACTTTTACAGCGATCCATCGACAATAGGGAACCTTAATAGTCCGTAACGTCACTGATTTTCTCAATGCAGGCCGTTTTTTTGACGCAACAATGATACTGGGCTTAATGTTTTCACCTTTTCAGCTTTTCTCGTGGGCGAGCACGAGACAATGAAGTTAAATGTCAGCACGGAGTTGACGTCATTTATCGCGTACTACCCACTAGGCACTAGCCACCAATAAATGCTTCCATTCGATAATTAGGTATTTCACTCAAAGGAAACGCTAGTGACGTCAGAAAAGCCCGCTAAAAGCGGGTAGGGTGGCGTTGTACTCCAAATATAGACAACGTATTGAGCCTACAACCAGATCGACGTAGTGAGACCTCACACATCCGTATATCGATCTGACCACAAATCGAGCACCGGAGCACCGTCCACAGCCGTGCCCCTATTCTAGAACAATCCGCGCTGACTGCTGTAAGGCAGTCTCGCGGCTCGCGCTGACCGCCTCCGAAGATATCCACTGACCGTGCTCCCAGAGGTACATCTGACGGTCCAGCAGGATCACAGTCTCGATGACGGGCGCCAGCATCAGGCGCAGCGAGTAGAACACCACCACTCGCCGCCAGTGCGCCAGGTCGGCCGCCGAGTGGCTGAGGTCCAGCGCAGAGGGCGACACCGGTCCCTGGGTGTCCCCCGTAGCGCCGCTGAGACGGGACACGGCCCGGGACACGTACCTGGGGGAAAGAGAGGTAACTCAAGCCCTGCAAACTAATAGGGACCTTATAATGACCATCCCAGCACGTATAATTAGTAAGTTCCTTTCGCTGTAGCTTTCATCCTTATTCCTTAGTGTATGCCAGTTGCCGGGGGGGGGGGGGGGGGGCGGAACAAGGTTTCCCTGGCTCGCCAAAACTCCCAGCACCTCAGGTAATGGTGAGGTGGGGCATAAGTTATCTTTCTATCAGAAATTCAGGTCGACCACCTCCCTATCACAAGTGTGAGCCAGTATTGACATCACTCGGGTAACGTAACGTCTAAGGTATGTTCCTTTACAGTTTACACAGAGACAGTGAGCTCCAACACCCGGTTCGCTCGAATGCCAAATTTTTCCCCGACCCAACTCGAGAAGAGCGAGCCTCCGTCGTCCGCCTTACTCTGCGAAGGTGAGGGTGTGTGCCTTGTTAACACTGCGCAGGCCGATATGCCTCAGCCGCGGGTCGTGGCGCACCAGTGCCCGCTCCAGCGCGGCCCGGTACGCATGCACCTGAGAGACAGACGGGCCGAGCGAGTGAGACAGCCTGATACACACTGGATCGTCATATATGTTTTACTTTCAATATGTTTTACCACAAAGTCACTGTCGAAAAAAAAAAATCAGATAAATAGAAATAAAAGTGATCAAATGCGTCCTCTTCCAGGAAAGCGTACATACAAGCAATGTTTATCTTATTATCTTTTCAAAATAAATGAAATAAAAGGATACAACACGCAATGAAACTTTACCATGCTTGATTGCATCGACATAAGACTGAAAGAAAACCAATGTAAAGCAATAACAGTCAAACTCAGCATTACAGACACGCACAAGTAACCTATAGGTGACCTACAGCGTGGCTGGCCTCGTACCTTGAGGTGCTGCTCGCCTCCCGCCGCCAGCCGCGCAGCATACTCCTCGATGGCGTGGCACGACATCTCCCTCGCCTCGTAGGTCATGTCGTAGCCGTGTCTGTCGACCGTATCCGCCACCAGTCTGCTGAGCGGGTACCCCACCCACGTCGAGCTCGCCCCTCCGTCCGCCGGCGGCGTCGACAGTTTCATGTAGCAGCAGCCGACCGAGACGACAGCGCCGCACTGCGGTGACCGGACAAACTGCCGCAGCTGGAGGGCGGCCAGGTCACCGCACGTGTGCAGGCCCACCGGGGTGAACTGCAGTGAATCCGTGGAGGTGCCCGTCAGGGAGCAGAGCGTCTGAAAAGAAACGAGATCGGTGCGTCAGACACCATAACAATAATAGCGGCTCGGTTACAGTGCGCCAATATATGAACACTGCTAATGATCTGGCATGCTTTGATGTATTCGAACGAGGATGACCCTAAGATCTAAAATGCCAGACGTTTCGGGCAAAGCGTGCACTCGTTAGTGGGTGGGTACTGGGTAGGTACTGCACACAGTTGTCGTGTTAGCATTTTGTCATCTGCGCTTGAACACGCCAATTAATAAATATTTCAGGCAGGCACATGCGTAATTGCCATCGCTTTATGGCAAAGCAAGAAAGCCGTTTTACCTCTCAGATACCTCTCAATAAATAAAGCAAGGCAATTTCAACATTTGATCAAAAATAGGCCAGTTAATTTCATTCTCAATCATAAACATCTTCAATCTTCATGGATGTAACTAGGGTGACCCGCGTGCTCCGCAACGCGAAAAGGGGGTATTTACGATCGGCGGGTGTTTGGTTGTTCTTGTGTCGGTTGGGTTATCTATCCATTTCGGTCGATTGTTTTTTGATGGCTAAACGTTTTGGTTTGGAAAAAAATATCCATCGGATCGAGGTGCCCGTGTCTGATAAGCATGCTTTCTACTTCAGAACCTGTCAATAGTTCAGTGAACCTGTCAAATGTGTTTTATAATTCAGGTGCGTAGTTTTTTGACAAATGAAAGGCGTAGATAATTTTCGCTAAAAATCGTTTTGCAGAGGTTTAAAACATTTATATTTTTTAAGAATACTGTTGCTTGTCATGCAAACGTGATGATTGGATCTTGGAGAGAATTGAATGCTCTTTCTAATGATAGCATTTTCAATTTTCAAGCGTATCAGGTTAAGCAGCAAATCCCGTGTATCTTTTTAGTGGCACATTGTGGACAAATACCATTTTAATTCAGCGATTTTTCCACATTGTTTTTGATCAATTAGCTGTCCACAATTTTTCCATGAGAGGCGGTACATTTCTCTTGGCAATTGACGTTGTTTCAACTCTCTCAGTCTGATGGTCACGGGAAAATAAAATAAAATCCAAAATACGTCTAAAATGGCACTTTTTGAAATGAAATTGCCCTCACACTTGCACGTGGCGCGTGCCACCCCTGCACCGCACACTATTCGATTGCCCGTTCGATTCTCTACACGATGCTGTTTTCCCCGTGCCGATCGGGCGCACGGCTACCGAGATATTGCACGGGGAACGGACCCGTGTCGGGCAAATTTAGCCATTTTCGCCCGTTTTTGCCAGCCGATTTATACATGTAAAGTCTATGACGCGAATTTGCACTTTTTGGGCACGCGCCACGCGCTCGCTATCGATCCGATCGAGCCGAGACCGCTCAAAGGCACGTTGTCCATCCTTGTTCTATAACTTGCGCAAATTTCAGCGCGGTAGGTGCAACGGTGTGACCTGTAACCCGCGCTACGTAGCACCATGTCGCGACCTTCGTAATAGACAGAAACTACGCCTTCCTCAAATAGTAATATAGACAAGCGGCTGCGCCACTTGCTTCGCGGCGTAGCCAGAAAATGCCGCACCAGCCAATTTGCTTTCGAATGGTGTTTGATTTAAATCGGACTGTCGTCTGGAAGCAGAGATATGGACGGAAACGTGCAGAGGAAAATTTTGAACATAATAACTATTCTGAGGGCTTAGTTGGATGAAATTTGGGTCATACGGGGTCAAGTCAGGTCAAGATGGTCATCCCTGGTCACACTGGGTCAGGCCAGGGCACCTTCTGTGAGGCCAGGTCGTATAGGTCACCACGTCACATTGGATCGGCCTGTACCACACTTCTACTACTTCTACCCATACCACTACTCCTACCACTATCCCTACCACCAGGGCTGCGGAGTCGATGGATTTTCGGCGACTCCGACTCCGACTCCGACTCCGGCTTTCAAAAACCAGCTCCGACTCCGACTCCGACTCCGGGCAGAATTGTCGACTCCGACCGACTCCAACTCCCGACTCCGACTCCGCAGACCTAGCAGGGCTGCGGAGTCGACAGATTTTCGGTGACTCCGACTCCGACTCCGGCTCGGGTTTCTAAAATCGACTCCGACTCCGACTCCGGTCACAACTGTCGACTCCGACCGACTCCGACTCCGACTCCGACTCCGACTCCGCAGCCCTGCCTACCACTACCCCTACCACTACCCCTACCCCTACCCCTACCCTACCACTACTTCTACCACTACCCCTACCCCTACCACTACCTCTACCACTACCCCTACCACTACCCCTACCACTACCCCTACCACTACCCCTACTTCTACCCCTACCACTACTACTACCCCTACCACTACCACTACCCCTACCACTACCCTACTACTACCACAACCACTACCCCTACTTCTATCCCTACCACTACTACTACCCCTACCACTACCACTACACCTACCACTACCCTACTACTACCCCTACTACTACCCCTACCACTACCCCTACTACTACCCCTACCACTACCCCTACTACTCCCACTACCCCTACCGCTACTCCTACCACTACTACTACCACTACCACTACACCTACCACTACAACTGGGTCATGTAAGGTCACAGACTATCAGATTGATAAACTAAAAAAGAGTTCTTAAAACTGCTCCTATACGTGTCACTCCATTATTCTTTTAAAAAATGGCGCCTTTAGATTATTCTTTTAAAAATGGCGCCTTGAGACAAATGTGGCGCATTGCGACAAAAGTGGCGCATTTGTACCTGTCATTTTGTCATGCATCCTTTCACCGAATTGACCTTTATCGGACTATATTTGACAAAGTTGTGCAATTTCCGGCAAAATGGCGCCTTTCGACAAATGTTGCGCATTGCGGCAAACCCGGTGCACTTGTGTTAGCGCATTGAAAACTGTCCCCATTCAACGAAAATCAACATCTTCATTCGCCTCTGTTTATCAAAATAAATAAGCTGCCAATCTGCAAATGAGAGGCACCCGCCGCCGATCGTCATGCATTTTATTGTCAAAGGCGATTGAACCCGGCTGCCGATGCATTGAAGCAAGCTTGAGAACCGAGCAAAATTTGGAGAAAAAGCACCTTTTTCCAGGGCGTGCCACGTGCAAACCATCCACCCCCCCCGGGACTCGAAACACGACACTGCACGTGCACGTGACGTCATCAACACACTGCGAAAATTTCAGCCCCATCGACCGCACCGTTTGACCTGTGCACGGCGTCAAAGCACCCCTCTGCACGGTGCAAACACACAGACAGACAGAGTTTCATTTCACAAATAGTATAGTAGATTAAGCAGGATTGCTGGCAGGAAGTGCCAGTTTCAAAGTTACTAACCTGCAAGATATAAGATGCAATATTTGGGAGGTCACGTGCAATGCACGCATTTACGTTTTTGATAAATAATTTGCTTTGCTGTCTCGGCGTCTTGGACGGCCGTTAGCGACTTTGCTAATAAGTTGAATTAAAACAACTGTTATAACGGATAGTTTAGTAAAAATGAAGGCGACACATATTATTCGCTATATTGCTTAGAATCCAAAACACAGCAATCATGTAGACTTGATGAGAAGTTGCCACTGTGTCCGTTAACAACGCTGGAGAAATGTGACAACACCGCGATCATTTTAGTGTGAAAATGGCCAATCCGGAGAAGAATGAGTCCCTGTCCGCTCCTGGATCAAGGACTGGGGCGTCGTCTATGGCCCAAATGCGATCCAGGTCGAACACCCTGATGCCGACAGACGAAGTGTCCATGCGCCAGTCAGCTTTGTCATCAGTGCTCGCCCATGCCTCGTCCTCGGCAGTAGGAAAATGCCGTGCGATCGGCGGCAATGGGCCCATTCGAGACCGATCCATGTCACTGGCGCAGGCACAGGAGACTGCCAAAGAGAAACAACAACGAGCAAAAGAAGCCAGAGAGGATAGAAAATCTCGCATCGATCTGACGCACAGACATTTGATCGAATGCACTGCACAGCTTCTCGGTCTGCAAGAAATTCAAGTGGAGGAAAGCATTCTAGACTGTGTCAAAAGTATTGAGATGATCGATGACCTGTTCGCCAAGGAGGGCAGTAAGTCGCTCTTCATGTTCTACATGGAAGCTGAACCTCCCGGCCCCGAGTCTGGACGAATCATTGGCGCCGCAGCCAGGGCCAACAAAGTCCGTCGCATCCTGATAGCTGACGACACGCCTCTACAGGCCCAAGGCACTTGCATCTTCTTCTGCCGCGACAAGAACGACGTCCCGATCACGATGAAAAACATCGCCGAGGAGTTGCGCTTCGGCAGCTTCCAGCTGTCTGGCGATGGCAGCACAGGCGGCGTACTGACCGGCCTGAACCAGTACCTCAGCACCATCTACAACCCGGTGCTGAAGGCACTCCGCAACTGGGGACAGATCGAGAAAGACTCGCACCACATATCCGACTTTCTCGTCAACATGACCGGTCTGGCAAACTTTCTGGACGCGGTGCACACCAACCTGGAGCAGCGCGTGGTGCTGAAGCAGAATGAGGAGCTGTCGACGCACCTGGGCACGCCCCGCGAGGTGATCGCCGCCGCCGCCAACCCGGAGCTCATCGAACAGGCCGAGGAGCTGGTACTCTCCTGGTGCAAACAGATGGAGACCGTGCTGGTGCAGAGCGAACAGATGCGCAAGGAGGGCGACGACACGGGCCCGCTGGCCGAGCTCGAGCACTGGAGACATCTGACAACCAAGTTCAACGACATGGTGGAGCAGATCCGCTCGGAGCCCGTGCAGATGGTGCTGCAGGTGCTCATCCAGTCCAAGTCCAAGGTGTTCAAGGCCTGGCGCGACATTGACATGCGCGTGACCGACGCAGCTAACGAGTCGCGCGACAACCTCAAGTTCCTGTACTCGCTGGAGAAGTTCTGCCGACCGCTGTACGCCTCCAATCCGGTGGCCATGCGAGAGGCGCTGCCCAGTCTGATCGGCGCCATCCGGCTCATCAACACCATCTCAAGGTATGGACAACAACAGTAGGCAGTCGTGCCAGCCCTTCCGCTTAATACCCATTGGATAGTTATAAATTATATCGGGTGTTTCTATTTCATAACATTTATTCAGGAACGTGAATACGTAGGCGTTTCCCAATTCAGTAGACCCTAAGGATTTAAAAAGGTAAAAAGCGACTGTCAGAACCTTCAGCATTTCCTATACAAAGCAATTTTGATGGGACTTATCAGCCAGCACCTCTAACTTTGCAACTATAAAATGGTTCCAACGTGTGTGGAAGATATGGGAGCTTCAAGTAAAAGGTGCTATGCGTACGAAAAAGCAGTAATGAAGCCCATAAGAACAGCTTAATGCCACTGAATTACTGATAATGTCGCTAGATCTACCGGGTGTACCTATGTGCTTAATCAATGTGATGCTGGTGAAAAGCGACCGAGTCCGAGTTAGTAAATTCAAATTGAATCAATTTTACGTCAAATCACGAGATGCGTGAAATCTAATTTGCGAGATGATGAAGCCACAAAAAACTCGTATGAGGCATCTTTTAAATTATCTTATTTGATATTCGCCACTACCCCCAGGAGCATCTCTATTTTTGTTCGGGTAGCGAGCGCGCCGGGCCGGGCCGGGGCGTGTTTGGACAATGGGGACATCCTGCGCTTTTCCGCAAATTCGCCGCCGTTGTTGGCAGGTTTTTCATGCCTACATCTTTAACCCGCGCCCCGCTGGGCTATTCAGCCATACGCGCCCTGCTGGGGGGGGGGGGGCAGATTCTGCCCCCCACCTGTCTAACTTCCGAACCGATGGTCGTAGAAAGACGGGAAAAACGGCAATCGTAAGCTCTCAGCAAGGCGGAGCTTAAGAGCTTTTTTTTGCTTAAGTAGGTCAGAGGTCAGGTCAAGGGTAAAAATGCCAGTTTCTACAGTATAGGCCTTGCACCGTAGTTCAGCCGAAGAATGGACTGAGACTGATTGCCCAAAACGTGTTCTTAGGGTACCTACCAAGACAATGTTTGTTGCATACAATATCATGCAAAGGGGTCAGGTCAGGTTACAAAAACGAAATATAGAAAACGGCATGTGCGACACATGTTTTAAGCATCATTTTATTCATATAATTCAATAAGCACACTCAATAAGTGATATGGACCACAGCTGGAAGAATTTCAGGTCGAGGTCAGGTCAAGGTCAGGTCAAGTGAGGTCAAATTTTGAAGTTGGTTGTCAAGACCTAAAAAGGTGTCTATCTGATGCAGTTTTTCACGACAATGGTGCTATTTTTGTTTCCGTACGAGGTCTAGAACTTCAAAAAAATGTTCAAAAAATTTGTGTGTCGTGACGTCATAAAATTTTGAATAACTCCCACATTTTTAAACCGATTCTTCTAAAAATTGGTATGTACAGGGTGTCCCAGAATTACCCGGAAATTTATTTTCTGACTAAAAGTACAATTGCGCTCGATTCTAATGATATACAAGCATCATACTTTTATAAGATATCCCTTAGCTATCGAGCTTGGGGACTGTGTGCTTTTGGTGACCGGTAACGACTCGAGTCAAGTATTATCCAGAGTCAAGTAAGAGTAGTCCTTTTCCGTTTTCAGCTTAAGCCACTAATAGGCAACCATGGTGAATCAACTCCCGTTTTCAACTTTGTAAACGGACTTTCGGCATGGTTTTTGCTGGAGAGCTTCAGTAGCTCATCTGCAAGCAGTTAGGATTGAGCGAAGCGCAATTATATCAGCTAACGAAGCCAGAGAGAGCAAGAGATAAACCTGATTGACAAGCTTGGGCTCGGCCAAAAAGGGCCATGCACCAGTTGTCAAACGGGTGGTTGCTTGTCATGGACAACAAACGTCACTGATCTAGCTAAAAACTAGCTAAACGATAGATCAGGATTATCTAAAGAACATCAGTCTACTTTCCACCACTATCTTCGCAAAATTTTGGAATTTGGGGTCCCTCGCCTGAAAAATATGCGAAAACTACGGGAAAAGCAGCGAAAATCACTACAATTCATCCCAAAAATATAACATATACAGCAAAAAATTATATTGAAGCACACTTTGTGGTCTAACGAAGGTATTCTGTCATTTGAACCGCCCGAAAAAGGCGTGTGTGAACGTCAGATGGCTACAACGCCCCAACAGCAGAGACGGCCAGGCACCCGTCGAAAATCAAATTGTGAGACATTTTGAGCCACCGTGCACTCATTCGGCTTGATATGATGGCCCAACGACAGCCGTTAGCACAGAGTACTACTGCGGTAATATTCTACCAGTACAAAAACTGGATGCCGTAAACCCAATGGCCATGAACGGGTTTGTTTTGGAAACCAAATCTGTTGGAAGCCAAAGGTCCCGCCATGTTCAGACATGGAGCTTCTCCACTTCAGATGTAAAAAACGCGGCAAAAGTGGTGTAGGCAGCAATTTTTGTTTTGGGGAATAATGCCTTATGACCTGGGAACACTTTGACGTTAAGTTTATCTTATATGATCGTATTATCCTCCGGCAACAGGTCAAAGGAAACAGGCCTTCGCCCAGTTTCGGGAGAGCCGTAAAACAACTGAGACCAGCAATGGCTAGCATTTTTAATCATTGTCGGCTGATCTTGTAACAAGCGTATCTATTGCATGTGCTATTTCACAGCCACCCTAGTTGACTATATAGGACGATAAAAAGAAATAAGCGCAATCATGTTTGCCTTATCTTATACGCTAATTAACAATGTCCGGGTAATTCTGGGACACCCTGTAGGTGCACATAGACCACTTCTCTGACACATATTCCGTTTTTTTTTCCGATACACCCGAAATTTTAGATTTTATCATTATTTTCCCAAAAAAAAAAATCATTTTTTAATGGGCCAAAATCCAGAGTTTTCAAAAAACCGAGATTGTCATTTGATACACAAAGTAAAATCACGTTTAACCTTTTTTTGTTACGTCTTGATTCCTTTAAAAATGAAGATGTTAGCGGCGTTTGAAATTTTGCCGTTTTTGAGGCGAAAATGGCGGACATGACGTCACTTAAACGTCATTTTATCAAAAAATTCAGACGGATTTCGCTCAAATTTCAGGAAACGTGTTAAATTGATGTGTGATAAGCCGGTACTGAAAGCTTGACGTCGCTGGCGTAACGCGTTTAGAAGTTATTGGCGAAAAACGGGAGGGGGCGCAGATTCTGCCCCCACCCCCACCCCCAGCGGGGCGCGGGTTAAAGCACATATTGTGAAAATGTCAGACCCAGATCACTCAAGGTCGGGTCACCAGGTCAAGCGAAGTGACCTAACCTAAGTAGAATTAGCATGTTCGTGAAAGCTACACTGACTGGCCAGTGGCCAGTTCCTTTGGAATTTTCAGCGCTCAATAAGTGCTATGCATGAGCGAAGCGTAAGTATGCATCGGGTTAAGGGTTTTCGATATAGGTGACCTTGGGTCAGGTCAACTGTGCGACCCCTCCATTGTAACTTGTAAGTCAATGGGAGAAAATATATCTTAAACTTGTAAAACGGAAACCATTATTCTAGCACTTTGAAACATCGTTCCACAGGTTAATATTTGGCACTGGATAGGAAAATTGCACCAATGGCCACGCTTTAGACTCCCAGGCCATCTTAGGCCATGAAAGGCAGGTAATCAGCAGTTTTTCGACAAAAGCTTTTGATAGACATGCGAAGTGTTTTACCTAACCTATCCCTCTAATCCTCTAGAGCGATGCAAACCCCTTGCATATGGCTTCACCTCAAAGATGCGGATCGTTTGATAAGCAGCATGACCTTTTCGGGTCGGGTCATGCCCTTGACGTTTGGTCATTTTCTTACCCGAGCCGGCCGCCCCACACTGAAACTCGCATGCGGGTTGCAAGTTTTTGGATTTTCGGGTTTCTTCAAATTCAAATCATACAATCGAAGCTTAGTGACCCACACGACCATCTAACAGGCGAGTCTGCATGTTTTTAGCTTGCGAGCGACCTTGCATCGCATTCCAATAGTTGATTTTGAGTCAACTTTCGATTTTCCTCGCTGCGAAGTCTGCGAGTTCTGCGAAGTTTGCGGGTTTTTCGTTGGAGTCGAATTTCGGTTCGTTGCGCTGGTATTGCGACTATGTGAAATTTTCTGAAGGTGTACCGGCTTCACTCCATTCATGAAGTTACCATAAAGGAACGGTCTAATCACTATGAACCAGAATGACGCCTTTTGGGACGACTAACAGAGCGAGCGAGAGGGTGGGCCTTGCACGTGCGAAATTGCGAGGGGTACCTCCAACTGACTTGTGCACGGCACCCTACTTACCGGTCTCTAGCGATGTGCCAAATTTGGGCACAATCGGCCCAGCCGTTCTTGAGATCTGGAAGCGGCACCCTGCACGTGCGCACGTGCAAAACGGGTCCCAACTGACTTGTGCAATGTGCACGGCACCCTACTAACCGGTCCCTAACTGTGTACCAAATTTGAGCGCAATCGGTCCAGCCGTTCTCGAGATCTGGAAACGACCCCTGCACGTGCGCACGTGCAGCAGCACCCCAACTCTGGCCCATGAATATGCAGTGCCTAGTGGGTGCCTATACCTACATGCCAACTTTCAGCGCAATCGGCCAAGTAGTTACCGATATATTGCAACAATTACAAAAGTGACACCTCTTCGTTTTGCACGTGGCACGTGCATAAGGGGCCACCCACATGCATCGGGAATAGTCCAATACTTGGTAGAAGGAATGAAGCTACCCTACAAAAATTACCGCATGTAAATCGGTTCAAGTGGTTGCTGAGATATAAGCCTCGCAAAAGCGTCCGCACGGCCATTTCCGTTAATCTAAGGAAAGACTACGCTCGCTCCGTAATTATGCCCGCAAACTCAAAACCCGCATGCAAGGTCCAGTGTGGGGCAGCCTTTAACGGTCAACCGATTTTCTGGTAAAGTCAAAGTTTTACAAGCTTTGTGTAACGAAAAAATATTGTAGACAAACATTTTCAACAAACAAAGTCACTTTTGACAGTTTTTACCCTCT